TAGCGATCTCCTTGGCCCGCTTGGCTCTGCTCAGACACAAGAGTTTTCTCTGCGATCTCAAGCACTAAAGCCTCTTGAGATATTACGAAGCGCTACGGTGAATCCTGCTAAGATGATGGGGTGCGAGACCACACTGGGTCAGCTGAAGGAGGGCTTTCAGGCAGATGTTTTGATCATGGATAAGAACCCGTTGGAGGATATTGAGATCTTTGACCATCCGGAGAAGTACATCTTGGCGGTTATGAAGGACGGTTTGGTGTATCGCAGTCAGTTGGAGTCTCTGGAGGTTGATGGTGGGATCCCGATCCGGTTCAACTCGGTACTGTAGAGTTTGATGAATCCCTTGATTCAAGGCATGGAAGAATAGCCAAATTAACTATCAAAAATGGGAAAAGCACGAATACGAGTTTTTCCCTCTGCTTTAAGGACTATACTTTCAACACTGTATGCCTAATAATTAGTTCATGAGAGCAGATCTTTCAGATTATGGGATCCTTGTTCAAAGTTGACTACCAAATCACATCACGGCCTCGCAAAGGGTCAGTAAGCTGTCTGTGTGGCATATGAACTCCTCAAACATTTGATGCATAAATCAAAGCCTCATGGTGCTAGATCAGGAGGGTAGCCTGCAAAATCCAGCACATCAAAACCTGTGAGCCCCATTAAAAACGGCTGGTCGTCATTATACATTGTCGACAGGCGATACGCCTCAAACGGATCAAGCTGCTCTCCGGTCTGAGGTTGGGGAACCGGTAGACGTGGCATGAGTGGCTCGAGAACCGCCTCAGTGCGTGTGCTCCATTCCATATCCTCAGCCCCCGTAGACCAGAACTCTGTGTCGGAACCTGGAGGTACCTGTGTATTCTGTTCGGCACCTAATGCGGTGTCGCCAATCGCTTCGCTGTTGATAGCGCTCTGGGACTGTTCTTGGTTTGACAGCCACTCTGCCCACTCATTATACGCAGATGATTGTAGCCCTTCGTCGGTCGCGTTGGTAGGAGGCTGCCTCGACCCACTAAGCTTTCCCCAGGCCTCGTTCGAGATGGATCGAAGGGCTTCGACAAACCGAACACCAACTTGAGCATTTGGGTTCCCCGTCGCCATTCTTCGCAAGAAGTCTAGACCAAATCTGACGCGTCTTTCGTATCCGGGGTCGCGGTCAAGGATACCGGCTATAAGAGTGACAATGGTAGCAATACTACATCCTTGGAAGTCGGTGAACGAGAATCGCGTGGTATACCCTGTCTGGTTCAAGTCTTCAAAGAGCTGAAGCAGTTTCTTAGAGGCCCTTGCGCATGATTTTGATAGCTTTTCAGCCTTTTCATCAATGTTGCATGGCTCTGAGTTGTCTCCGAGATGGCGTCGAAGAGTCATTCTTACAACTGTAATGAGAGGCATCTTCCCCATAACAATCCAGGCATAGTAGTAGTTGAGCCAGATATGAAAGACAGCGCGATAGCGTGAGTCTTGGGGTGGGATTGTCTCCAGATCAAAGGCTTCAGGCAACGAGTCTTTCCACTCTCTTAGCTGGTTTTCCAGGCTCGCTGTGTCTGTCTGGCGAGGAAGGTTCGTTACTGTTGACCTGAAAATGTCAGCATTTGAAGAAGAGCAGTAAGCTGTGACGTACTCCAGGTCAGCCACTTTATCCAGTATGGATATGAGACGAGCGAAGGCAATTTGAAGAACAACGTTGTTGAAATTCTGAGAGTCGTCGAACTCTGGCAGAACAGTCGGTAATGGGACCGTAATGATCTCAGGTGCCACCGATCGTGGCCTGTTGAGCTTTATTGTCGAACATCTGCTTGGCATCAGTACGGATAGAGCTAACATGAGGAGTGGCACGAAACTTACCTTTCAAGTGAGTATATTGACCACCACAACCGCCGACGAACTTCTCTTTCTCTCACGTCCATTCCCTGGTCATCCGAGTCCTGATGTAGGTCAAATGCCAAAGCCTTCCTCAAAGCCATTCCCGTGTAGACATATGACGACCCAACTGCATTCTGCGGCATGAGATAGACACCGAGTATCAAGCATACTTGGATAGATCTGAGGCCTGGAAGCTCGATTATATCCGGTACAAGTAGCTTAGCTTGCTCAAAGAAGAGCCTTCCGGGATCGTGTTCATCAATCCGTGAATGGCCTGGTCGTTCCAGAGGGGTCCAGTGGCTGCCAAGTGCGAAGATTGTCAATGCGAGACAGATGAAACTGGGGTCAAATCTCAACGGGCACGCTTGATTGGTGTAGAACTGCTCAATCTCGTGAATGATTTGTGCTTGGTCGAAGTAGAAGAAGACATCAGTGCCGCGTCTGATGCACACATGAACAAGGAACTCAGCGATAGATCGAGGAGGAAATGAGGCGACAATCTTTTTGAGGCGGGCCTGTTCTACAAGCGATGGGTTGTTTGGTCGGGTAACATTCTTGATATATTCAGTCTAATATGACGCTAGGGTGCGGAAACAATACTTACAGCCTGTAGATTGACCATGTCCTGCTCTTCAGGCCCGGATATTGGGTTCAAGGAGAAGGCCTCGCGTAGTCTTGTCAGGAATCGGGGCCATAGTATGCTTTCGGTCTGGTCTGCATCCGTCAGTTCAGTGTCTATATAAACTTGTAATCGTCCGTACGGCTGTCAATGGAAATGTTCTCCTGGGGTGTTGCTCCTGTTTGAGACGAGGCAGCTACGGCAGTAATGGTAGCATCTCCTGCGGGCATTGGGCTTTGACTGTGTCGCGGAGACAACCTATCTCTACATTGTGTCAGATTGAATTGCTTATCAATCATGCAATGGTCACATACCTGTCAAAGCGACAACTAAGCTGGCCAGCTTCACATCTCTGACAAATGCCTGGACTCGACTCAATGCACTTGCTTTTCCGGGCCTTGCATCGATCGCACCTGATAACAGTGATATCATCAGTACTGGGTCAAATGCTTGCCCTTTAGGGACTCACGCTCGCGGTGCACGTTTCCGGTTCTCTACGGCAACGCGTCTACGACGGCGACGTCGAGCGGCGGGTGTTGAATCCATGGGTTCTGATGCAAGATTATGGAGATTACGGGTAGTGGAACCTCGGCTACTTGTCCTCGTAGTGTGGTAGGTTTGTCGGTAATTTGTACTAACTTAGGTTGGGGCCTTGTCGGGTATCTGATTACGCGCTCCAGATTGTGGTCTTAGCTGAATATCCCTTTTGCGGTGCTCAGTCGGGCGTTTTTGTTAGTGGCCTAGCAGAGCCGAAAGCTGCCTACCCCGTACTGTTGACAATTTTGTTGTTTTCTTGCCTCTTTCTGCGTCAATGTCCTCCATCGTGCGCTGACATATATTCAGGGAGGATCGCCTATAAAATCATGAGCTCATATTTATACATTTTAAATTTTCTACAGAAAATATGCAATCATCTTTACTCGTCAATTTCAATCATAACGAAATCAGCTGCCCCGCGTATCTAGCTACCCATCACAGAGCTTTATCACACAATTCTGCCATTGACTCGGTTCTCGAGGCACAACATCTGCTGCATCATTTCATTTCCATGACTACCGCTGCAGTGCGTCCTTTGAGCGAGTCATGATAGCCCCCTCATGAGTAACTTAGGTCAAAGCGCTGCAGCGGTGCCCAACGTCCACAGCCAACATCTTGTCGATCTTCCCCAAGAATAGGTCGCTTCCGGCGGGGGAACAACAACAGAAGGGCGGCACAGAAAGTAGCCCTGTCGAGACCCCTACGGATTACATACCTAAGCTAACCTCCGAAGAATAAGAATGGTAACCTGGCGACCAACTTTCTATATTTGCTTACACCGCTCAGTGCCGGACAGCAATCCCCCGAGTCATTCGAAAATCTGGGGTAGCATTGATCTACAGATTGCATGAAATTGCGCAACTCAAAATTACAAGACACGTATGAGATGCGTCTATTTAGTCAGCACGGTTTCGAGAGTATAAATCAGGCTCCTAGCCCTCGCTAGGATTATCAGCATAGCATCTCATTCACTGCAACACTCTCACCCAGAACTCTTTGTTTCTGGCCTGACAACTTCTTCACTATGGCACCAGCCCAGACCCAAGATACACCAGAGAATACTCAAAAGAGTTCTGATCTCTTGGAGCATTCCAAGGGTGAATCAGTACTCACAGATAAAGACCGAAAGGCTCTCGTCTTCACCGACAAGCACAGTTCTCCAGATGTCTATGTCAACTCCAGCAAAGACACTCTGTGGCATCCGTGGACAGGAACGTTAGAGCTCAAGCCCCTCCGATTTGAAACGAGATCTGGCAGTTTCGTCATTGGGCTGAGAACCCCTGTCGATTGCTGGCTCGGAAAGCATAGACATCGAGGCACAGTCACAGCTGTTACACTTTCTGGGAATTGGAGATACAAGGAGTGAGTATATGGACTCAATCTATGGTGTGTTGACTGACATCTGTAGGTATGACTGGGTCGCTGGACCGGGTGACTATGTTGTTGAAAACCCAGGAACCATTCATACGCTGTTTATGGGTGCTGGCGCTGAGGTGGTGTTTACTATAACAGGAAGCCTCGAGTTCTTCAATGATGATGACAGCTTGAGGGAGACTATGGATATCTTCAGTTTCGCAGAGCTTTATTATGACCATTGCAAAGAGAAGGGTGTCGAGCCAAATGAGAAACTATGGTACTAAACAATACCAACCTGAGGCTTGGGCTAATAGTTTGCTGTTATTTTCAACGCTCAAATCACTAGGCTTTGCGAGGGCTGCCTTTGGTACTGGAAGGAATATTTTCCCAATGTCTTACTTAAATTCCTTGTTAGCTTTTTGCAGGACCCAGTGGTTCCGAGTCATCCATAAGGGCAGACAGTCACGGTATGCCTATGGAGATTTAATGATTAGCGCGAGATGCCTTTAAACACAACTCATGAAATATTCCAAATCTTGCTTAGAAAATCAGAAGTTAAATAGGTTATTGATCATAGTATAACAAAAAGTCAATCTAACCAACACCTCCAAAAAGAACACTACAGGGTTTTATAAAAGTCAAAATCACCTGGATTCTTCTCCATTTCCGTGAGGAGTTTGAAAAGGTCAATATCATCCAGACTTTTCTCCCTTTCCTTGCAAGATGGCGGCAGCCCAGCCTCAGTGACATCAAAGCTTAAAATAATCCGTTTTCCAGAAACACAGTCCCCAATAGCTGCCCTCCCCTGTATGCTTATTTCGGCGTTTAGACACTCTGGAGAGAGTTTGAAGAACTTCTCGTTACCGATCGTGATCCATGAATGCTCTCGTCTCAGAGCCGGCGAGGTTGACGACTCTCGCAGCCTGCGAAGGGAATGTTCAACCACTTGAATAACAATGTCATCAAGAATAACATTACCACATCTTGGTTCATTAAAGGAACCTCCATTCATTTGAATATAGCCAGGATTTGCAACACGTGTGTAGGTATGATGTTCCAAATGCCAGCAACACTGCGTGAGATCTTCGTGGCATGTTAGGAGGACCTTGCAATCCTCTGAATAAAGGCAGTATTTGACCATGCTTTTGACGGCGGAAGAACAAATGCAATCCCATGGTTCCACACTAAACATCGTGAGAGATGTTTTATTGGCAACAACCAGCATGGAGAAATCAGGCGAGAACTGGATGAAGTCGTTGTCGCCTACCAGTAGGCATTCGAACTTATTTTGGCAAAGTGACCAAACCTCATTGCCACTCACCGTATGTAATACCACTGTTCTACCATTTGGCGATGTATCGACTTCAAGAATCAAATTGTCCTGGCTTCTGGCCTCTTTCAGGCCTTTGCTTTGTGTATGAGGGTCCCATATTCGGACAGTATTATCATCCGAAGAAGCTGTAAGAATCATTGACAAGTCACGGGAGGGCTCAACTGTCCAATTCTTAGTTGAAGATGAGAATCCAAAGGCCTGCTCATAACTTCCCCTCTGGATATCATGTATCAGAACGGTGCCTGTACTGAGGACGGCAATAAGTTTTGTCGCGTCATCTGAAAAGATAAACGATTTGTATATCCCGTTGTACAAGCCGCTTCGTAGGTCGTGCATAAATGCTCCATTTCGAGCATCCCAGATCCCTATGTGGCCGTTTGTATCTCCCGAGGCTATCATGCGTGAATCCAGTGAGAATACCGCCAACAGGATATTACATTCATGGCCTCTGAGCACCTTTTTGCATTTACCCGCATCCAGATCCCATATACGTAAAGTCTGATCGAAAGAAGCCGAGACAAGCAATTGATTGTCTGGTGAGATTGCAGTTGTATTGACCTTTCCTGTATGGCCTGTCAATATCTTCTCGCATCTACCGGTGTGAGTGTTCCATAGTCTTATTGTTGCATCATCCGAAGACGTCACTACCATCTTCGAGTCGTGTGAAATAACGGCTGAATTGACCGCTCCTGTGTGTCCCCTTAAAATGAGAAGGTCCCAAGTCTGTGTCTTCCAGATTCTTACGAATTGGTTCCCACTTGCTGTGAGTAACAGCTTCGAGTCGCAAGAAAAGGCAAAGGCCTTTCCTGTAGGTGAAGGGTATTTCAAGACTCGATCACACTCTCCAGTCTGCAAGTTCCAGATCCGTAGCGTTCCACCAACTGAACTTGAGGCAAGCACACTTGAATCTTGAGAGAAGGCCACAGACTGGATTTCTCCAGAGTGTCCTGCTAACACGTGCTCGCATTTACCGGTCTTCGTTGATAGAATTCGGATTGTGTTGTCATATATTGATGCAATGGTTTTTGAATCCGGCGAAAAGATAGCTGACTTGACTCCAGCACTGTGACCTATTACCAAGGAGCATGGCCCCCAATCATCCTCAACTGCTGGCCAGGCCAAAAGCCAGCTAGGTACTTGACTTGAGAAAAGACGCCTCACGATACTATTTGATGGCGAGAATACTATTGCTGACGAGTAGAGTTGTAGCGGGGCTTCCCCAATAATGGAAATATGAGTTCGGATGAATCTCAAAGAATCTTTGACAAGGTCCGAAAGGCTGTCACAGGAATATCCCTAAGGTTATGAGTATAGTGGCATTGAAGTCGAAGAAGATACCTTACCTGCAGCCATACATCTAATGCATGTAACATAGTTAGGCATTCAGTGACATGACCTAGGACACTCATGGCTTCCAACCAATGGAGCAGGTGCTTTTCTAAGAAATCATAAGTTTCATGGGCCTTGAAATTCAACGTGTTGGAGGATACAAGATGATGTACCCAATAATGGCAAGCGTAGTGAAGCTCAGAGGGTATGAAACTTTGCGTATCCAGGTCTCCAACCTCAGATGGAGATGTCCCCGGAAAGGGTAGTCTGCATATGTTTTCACGAAGTTTGGAGTTCATGACGAAGAGGCAACGGCTTGCCAGTCTCCTGTGTGTGGCCTTTTCGTCCACCCAGAAGTCCGTAGCATTTTGAAGATCAGGATCCACGAGATAATCCCTGAATGATAGATGTAGGATCCTGACAGGGACTTCTGGAGTTTGGGGTACATTGAGAACAGATTGAAGAACCTTGATCCTCATATCAATTGTCGTGGCTGGAATGTTAAGTAATAACGATAGAGAAGTGATTGTCAACGGCGTTGCTAGTGTGACGATAGCACCAACGATTGATTGGAAGCTATGGATAATCTCTTCCCGTTCTCTCCTCGGTCTATTGACCACCTGTGAAGAGAGAATGGAGGAATAGATGTCATTGAGCCGAGACATATGCAAGCGGCTACTAGACCCAAGAATCTCTACTAGGAGCTCATCAGGCCCACCGAGAGTAGCATCATTCAGGAACCGACAAACAGTTGCCGCCGCGATGAACAGAGGTTGTGTCATGGAAACAAGCTGTCCGATCTTGACTGTGCCCGGCCACTGCTCAGCTAACTTTTGGCCACTGCGAGCCATGGAATTGAAGTCACGTCTTATTATGCGCAACTCATGTTGGAGAAAGATAGATATGTCGTGCTCCACGATGTCTTGTGAAATGCTGTGGAGCTCGAGACTCTCGTACGTGCCGTTGATATCTAGGAATCCAAGCAGAATCGGAAGCTCTGGTCTGCTCGTGATAAAAACCCTGAGTTTCAGCGAATCTAGAGATTCCAGTTCAGCAAAGAGGGAAATTATGCGTTTGATTTGGAATGAGTCTTCGCACTCATCAAGAGCATCTATGACAATCACAAGGGAGGTTGGATCTGATAAACAGGCTGCCCATCTTTTAAGAGGCTCTTTGAAAAGCTTCTCAAACTGCTCCCCAAGAGTTTTCGTTGGGAGCGTCGGATCGGCATCGATGGCCTTTTTGATGAAACTGGTCATACCAGGGATGTGCGTTGCTATTTGGCGTGCCAGAGTAGGAATAAGTTTCGACATATTCCCACGGGCTCCCTCTCCTCTTTTGAAGAAGAAGTTTGCACCAAGACAGCCTCTCTCCAACTGTCGCTGTGCAATAGTACGTGATATAGTTGACTTCCCTGTGCCCGCCATACCATTCAGCCAGAATATGGTCTTTGACTCGGAACGCTCAGCCCATTTGTCTATCTCGGCGAGAAGCTCTACTCGCGTCTCTGGTAGGCACACCGGGCTATGTTCCTCGGCGTAAGAGTTGAATAGAGCTTCAGCTACAAAGGGTAGTTGGTCAAGGGTTGAAGTGAGACCAGTCTGTTGCATTTGATGGCTATAAAGAGATTAATAAACTAGCCGAACTTATGAGCTAGTGACTTACTTCATGGAGTCCATCTTGCCTTCCACTGATGCAACATTAGCACTATGCCCAACTAGAGTATGGCGATGATTGTATACTAACGTGACTCGAGTATCTCGAGAACTCGTGGAGACTCTTTGAGTTGCCGCGCAGGAACAAAGCCCAGAAGCTCTACAGCAAATGCCGCAGCGGTAGATGCTGCGTATCTCTGCCACTGATCATTCTTGTGGCTATCGGCATAATCGCAAATTCCCCGAATAACAAGGCATGGAAACTTATCAACCAAGCCTACAGCTTCCATCTCGACACACAAGCATCGATAGCCCATGCTCTCTGTGAGGCTATCTCTGAACTTGGCGTCTTTGATAAGAGTGTTGCCTGAAGCAATAACTCCATAATGGATCACCGGCTCTGTGGTTTTCCGTTCCTCACGATCGATTCTGCGAGACACATCGCACTGCTTACATGTCTTCCCATCAACGTGTTCATAGTCTGATGGGAAAAGACGGTCATTCTCTGAACCCTGGTAGGTGAAGTTACTACCGGGTCGTTTCATGCCAGGGTTAGCTTTCAGCATAGCCGTGAGGATTCGCGGTATTTTGGAAGGTCGTATCTCATGCTCGGCCTGCAAGTTGGCCAGGGCTTTCAATAGAACTGCAGGTGGCTTGTCAATCGAGCCTGTCCGTTCCCAAACCCCATTCGCTTTCGCCTTGCCAAAATCATATTGCACGACGCCTCCAGTAACACCGTACGGCTGACTAACAACAACATCACCAAGTCTAATGTCTTGATCGTCGATAGGTCTAGCTATACCTCCACCAATACCGACCAAGAGACCAAACCGGATTTGCGGCAAAGAATGCACAAGGTCCGAGGCGGTGGTAGCAGCGGAGGTTGTTCCATAGACTCCTGCTGGTAGAGACGCAATGACGATGTTGTGTTGTCCGACACGACCCCAGATATAATTATTTGTGTCCGAAAGAGATGGGTGAAAGTTGTTTGGTTCAGAGTGTTCCTCGTCTAGTAGTGCCCTTGCTGCTGCTTGCTCAATGGCCAGGGCCGCGATCCATCCAATAGTATACACAGACGGACTATCGAGCCTCGTCTTTTCGCGCTCCATACCTATGTTGATTGCTTACCAAATCAAGTTGCATATGCTGTTATCATCTAGCTTGAGGATCACAAAACTAAATGCACGGCAAGATTGGTGGACAGGCAGGTCAGCAGAGGTCAGGATGCGGGGTTGCGGCTGAGCACGTTTGGTCATCCTATTTGATAAAGGACAGTCGGAACAATGTCCATTCCGGAATTGTGCCTTTTCGTGCGGCTGAAAGTTGGTTGGATGAGTGGCAAAATCAGGCTGAGCTGATTTTTGGCCTGTCGAAGTAGAGATTGCAAAGCTACTCTTATGGGAGACATATCTAACACTTCCAGATCAAGTGAGCTGGAAGTAAAGACTTCTATATAGTGTCGGTTACTCGTGAAGACTTTTTATCGCATTATTCACAGGAGACGTGCGCAAATTAGTTGCAGAGTATCGCCCGTTCAAGCATTGCACAAACTTTCCCAGATACAACCTAACCTTCTGGGATCAATGATGAGACACTGAAGCTCATAATTTCTTAGTGATATATATTAAATGAAATAAAAGAACACTTAAGGAAAGAAATTATCTTAATCTATCGCTAAATATCGTGGAATAGCACGCAAGACTTTGGCCGAAATGACTCTTTTAACTCTTGTAACATTAAACATCTACAGTCGCAATAATCTGCAAATTTTCATTCCGACAAAATATAGTATAACCATAGTTTAAGACCAAAAACACTTGGAGCACTCTGTCTGTGAAAGATGCTTTGCCGTTGGCGTGGTTGTCCTCTTAAGCCTAAATGGAACCCACTGTCAGGTCTTTGTCAAGTAGTATCAGGGTTTGGAGGTTTCTTGCCTGGTCTTAATGAAGATGGGGACCGCCATGAATATCGCCTACATCAGGCCTCTCAGTACAAGAGCGTGAGCAGCGATCCGCCTTGTTGGCTTGTTCATCGCCATTGCCCAGCTGATACACGATGCGGGTGACTGCCGTCTACGAGGTTAAGCTCGTAGCTCTCCTGCCTTCACCAGCGTCGGGGCTATCCTATTCGTCTCGAATGCACCAGGGGACGGCTGCTGAGTTGGCGGGATACTCCTCTCGGTGTCGGGATATTTTGAGCGAATTACACAGCGAAAGTTAAACGGTATTGGTTTTTCATCAGGTTCTAGGGCCTGGACACCACGAAAGACGACTGGAATCACCATGGGGTACATGGATTGATTCTTTGAGCTCTTGTTGCGAATGATAACCTTTTTCAGCTTGCTATGGCGGTACACTGTGGCTGGTGGTGCTGGCACAGTGAGTCGATCGTCATCATCGCGGGCTACCTTAGGGCGTTTGCCGCCTTTGACGAGAACAATCTTTGTGCGGCGACGGGTATAGGTAGGAGCCTGGTCTTGAGGCTCAGTCTCCTCAGCCTTTCGCTTCTGGGAATGTGTGCAAGTCATGGTGAGGAAGTCGTGAGTGTGAATGTACAAGGTGATGATGTACAGAGCCGAAGTGTACAAGGTAGTGGTGTACAGTAAGATAGTATAAACGATGTTATGTCAGGAGGACCTGAATGGTTCCGTCATGTATTTGTTAGGTTGAGATTTCTGGGAAGAACCATGGAGGGGCTGATTTTATAGACGGGGAAACTTTTCTTATGCATCAGAACTTCAAAAGTACTTTCAAATCATCAGAGTATCTGAACCCAATATTTGCAGGGAGGCATACAGAGAGTGAGGAAACTTGTATTTTTGAGCTGAAGGAAGTTCGAAATTGAGGTAGTATAAATTCTGCGCGAGTTTTCAATGAACCATCAGTGGTTGAGACCACATTTAGGTTCAAAAGAATGAAAGCTTAAGCAGACCACCATCACATCAACTACCACTCTTGGTCGATTGTATGAAGAACGCCTACTACTGGTCCTCTGAACAAGGGGAAAATGAAGCAAAGATATCTTGGTTCTGTTCGTATATACACCAGGGACTGAAGCATTCTCTAACAGCTAATCCCGAAATGTATCAACACAGGCTTTGTGCTGTAAAAGTATTCTCAACACACACTAAAGTCAAACTTTGGTAACAAAATCTTGTTTTTTGGTTGTCAGAACGTGTTAGGCTTCCCATTAAGTATGTAGTGCAGGGGTCGATGGCCATGGAGGACAGCCTGTCGGTTCCCATGCAGCATTTCTACTCTGTGACTCATACTATACCAACCGTCTGCCGCAGCTGCCTTGAGCATGAAACTATGTAGGTTACGTATTCCAGGTGGAATTTCTTCCAACATCAGTCATGGCAGGAACATTTGGGAAGTCATAAGCGTGCTTAACGTGAACTGCAAACCACGCTGACAATCCTCAAGTTCGTAGAAGGTCTCCCATTTATAATTTAATGTTAAATCATTAGGGTAACACTTGACCTAGTTCCCGTGCCTCACTTGCCTTTTGTCGTTAGATGTCTCCGGAGCAATTTGACGATCCCACTTTTTGCGTTCTGCTCCGCCAGTTTCAGAGGCGCATTGCCTTGCTTGTTCCTCCCATCAACAGTCGCTCCCTGATCAATCAGCACCTTTACGACACCCATGTGGTCATAGAGACATGCTCGTGATAAAGGCGTGTCTCCATTATGGTCCTTGACGTCTATATCAGCCCCCTTCTCCAGCAGGAGTTTGACAAGACCCTCCCTCCCTTTTCTGGCGGCCGCGGATAGAGGCGTACTCCCATCGTAAGTTTTTGTGTGAATATCGGCTCCTGCATCGATCAGCTGCTGGATAACATCCATATGACCATAGTTACAGGCTCGTAACAAGGGCGAGTCTCCAGCTTGGTTCTCCGCCTCTACATTAGCTCCTTTCTCCAGCAGCACTTTGACAACGTCGTTCTTTCCTTTTCTAGCTGCAATGGAGAGGGGCGTACTCCCATCGGAAGTTCGTGCTTCAATATCAGCCCCCTTATCTAGAAGAAGCGATGCTATTGGTTCGTGTCCTACCGAAGCTGCCAGCGCCAGGGGCGTGTATGTATATTCATCCTGAGCTTCTAACATCGCGCCACTATCGAGCAAGGACTTTGCGGTCGAGACTTGTCCGTATACTGCCGCATACATAAGAGCCGTGTATGAGTTATCCGGGTTTCTCACTTCCAGGTCTGCACCTTTTTCAATGAGAAGTTGCAAAATTGTGTTTTTCCCATTGGCAGCAGCCCAGAGCAGGGGAATGAAACCACCCATGCTCTGTTGGCTATTGACCAGACTTGTCGTTAGAAGGTTGATAGGACCCGTAGAAACCGCGGTATCTGTGTCTTGAGACGCTTTTTGCTTGTCCAATTGGCTCTGTATCATAGTTTCAGCCCAACTTATTGGACCCTTGGCCCCATCGAATTTCTCGATATTTAGAATATTTTTTGCTGATTGTTCTCCGAGTTCAACCAGTCTTTCTTTCACGTCTGATATTCTCCTATCGTCTTCTCGCATTTTCTGCTCCATCCACTGGATTTGGCCTTCGATCCCTCTTCTCTCCTCTGCAAGTTGTCTCTCCTTTTCCACTACCTTATCCAGTTCGCCTTTCAAAGACTCGAACGCGTTGATAATCGCAGACTGCATTTCAATCAGATCATCGATAACTTCTTCCGTTTCATCACTTGCGCAAAGGAATGAAATCAACATGTTCATCCCAATCGCCTTGATAATACGCCGGGACGTATCTGCATTAGGCACTGGTCCCAAGTCAGTTCTAGCTAGTCTCAGCAGGAAGATTGACCCTTGCGAGATATCTTCTCTTTGCACAGAGATCTCTATAATGTCATGACCATTGTGTATGACATTATCACGCAGGTGCTCGGATTGCATGTACTCCAGACCTCCGGCAATCTCAGCCAAGTCTAACTTTTCAGGCGCTTGTATTGCAAAGCAGTTCGCACAAGAATACTGCGCACGGAGGTTGAGATCCAATACAACAACAATATCGCGGCTCTTCTTGGCTTTGGTAGTAAAGCGTGCGAGGTATCTTTGTCTGACAGTCTGATTTGAATCGTATAAGTTCATGACCAAAGCACGGCCCCGGTCCCACTCGAGTGGTGGCCAAATTTCCGTGAGATGTAGTCTAAGCTTTTGATGGCCATCTATATGAAGCCAGATTGGTTTCCCTGTCATTTCTGCCGGTTGAACCTGGCGATCCACGCGGATGCGGACTTCATGGACTTGGTAGCAGTCGCTCCGTGCGCCGGAGAGAAGAATAGGACCATATCCAATCGGTCTGATGTACTCCCTGACAGCCGAAATTGAAGGCGTTGTGCAGCGTAGCGGAATAGCTATATTGCCTTCTGTCGTATTTTCGAGGCCACAATTGAGATGACCATATGCTACTCCGTTTTTTGTACTTTGCAACTTGAGCGAAGTGCGGATGTATCCTCCAGAAACAGCGAACGTTGTGATGCAAGTAGGGTCGAGCGGCTTAGGGACGATACGGCCACATTTGGCGAAGTCCATTGGGGACTTTGCGAAAATTCCAGCGGACGTATTATCCTCTCTGGGACCAGTCTGAGACTCAAACTCCATACCCTGAACCTTGACTCCCCATGCTAGAATTGAATCATCGGTTGTCTGCTCCATGATCTTAAGCTGCAGCCTTTCAAAGGCTTTGCGTCCTTCCCCATAAATCATGGGCATAGTAACGTTGAAGATCCCCAGGAGACAGTAGGCGATATCTTCATCCCTCTTCGTCGTCCTCTTTGACGCCCAGGACATGCGCTGTGCAACACTCGCCTGGTGAAAGTCGACCCAGCCGAGCAGAAATTTTCGGGAGATCCCCGTGATATCTTCAATTTCGCTCGCCAGTTCTTCCTTCGTGCCAATGAAACTCCATGTCTCATCGAAGAAGTGTATTTCTGCAGGAGCAAGGAGCTCCTGTAACGTCCACCCTCTCGTGAACCATGAGCTTGCGGAGAAGCTGGATATCGATTCCCAGATATCTTGCTCATGAGGGACATCGGCCATGTAGGTGTAACATTTGGCGGCTCTTCGATACCACTGAAACATGGAATTGATAGCCTCGTCTAGCTCCTTGGAACTCTCCTTATCAATACAGCAAGTGTCGATCCAAGCATATTTGAGGTTGTCTTTCTTGGCCTGTCGACAACAGCCTTTCACTTTTGTCATCCCAACCTTGTTTGTAGTGCCTTTTGTCATATCCTTGAAGGATACCTCCTCATCATCATTTCCCCATCGGTGCGATAGGATAGCATACGGTGGGATATGGCCGCCGATAAAGGTTTCCAGCTTTAGATTCTCAACGTTTATGAGCCGCATTTCCGTAGGTTCCAAATGCCAAAGCTGAGATCTCCAGTGCGGTTCAGTCGCGCGTGATATCGAGCGGGGTAAACAGGAGCTGATGGTCAGCTTAGTGTGGCTGCAATAGGCTTAAGAAGTTGTGATGCAGGATGTATATAAAAATGCTCGCACAAAGTTTGGCAATTCGAAAAAGCAGGCCGCCTGGAATTGATTACTGGGGGAAACTGCTGAGGATGAAAGGGCTTGAAAATTGGTCACGGCGTTCCAAAGGGCTGATGCAATATTTTCAGCCCAACCTTGTGGCTGTGAAGCCGCGAAGTGCAGCCTGCATCACACTTGGCCAATGATTACCGCTACCAATACACCAATATTGGCAAGGCAGAATCTTTTACTAGTCTGGCCAACAATGAGACCGTAAACATCACATTTATGTCACGAGACAGAGAAAATATCAAAGACATCAATTTGCGTGTTAACTTGTCATGTCCTTGTCCCCAGACTATCGTTTATTACAATATTCCATTGCCAGTATGGTGCTTGAAAGTGGTAATAATGGTGGATGAGCTACGGGCGATACATGATGTTTTTCAATCCATACATATTCGGGGCTGTTTCTGGATCTTCTCCCTCCCAGCACAGTGATACCGCATCATCCGCTGCAAGTAAAGGACCCCCATGCCTAGGTGCGAAGATCGGTGTTTTGCGTTGACGAGTTGGAAGATTTCCCTTCTCGAGCTTTCTCGAGTCTTGTTTTATTCTGCTGCTCAAGGAGGGCGAGTTGTTTCTGATAATCCTCCTCGGCTGCTTTACCGGTGAGAGGGTACTTGGGCACAATGTCGGGTGTCTCCTCCGGATCAGCAGCGAGCTTGGCCTTGTTCATGTTGGCGTTTCTAACTGAAGTCTAAGATGTAGATTTTGAGATGATAATTATGAAAGAGTGCGTCGCAATTTTTATAATTAAAGAATCGAAAAAATTGCTCTCTTTTTATGGGCTGTCAGCGTTCTATTTATTGTAGAAACCCGGTCGAACATCTCGCCCTACCGTTATGCACCTGGACGGGGTAATTTAAATCCTACACATGATGCATTCGACGCTGACACGTTGTGATTGGTCCGCTCTACGCAAGGACAAATAAGATTAAGCTTAAAGGTGGTATCCGTGGCATGCCGCGCCAAGACCATAGCAAAATCTTGACTTCGGATAAGTATGGTTGTAAATGCCACTGAAAAGGAAGAAACCCGGTCCCGGATGAGCTGGAAAACAAGCTGTTAGTGTAGCCAATGATATCATGCATTTGTGCACAGCCATGCACAGCCTCGAGTCTTAGTGGCATGGCATTGGGAATTGAACCAACAACTGTACAATCATCAATGGACCGACACAGAGCAAATGGTCCAAGACGGTCATTCTCAGGGTATGCCAGCATATACAAGTCTACTACACACCATAGGATATGTCATTGTTCGACATTTTCTAAATGGGGAGCGCTATGAACAGCAAAGTACATGGAATCGAGCTTTGACATTTAGTTAGATACCAGCATCCGAATCCTACAGCCACCAGCTGCAAATGGCAATAGCCGAGACTCATATCGTGCCACTCGGCAAAAGCTAATAAATACACGACCATCACTTGCGTAATCCGTGACGAGGCTTCAGTCATCTGTTTAAGCATAATTTGCCAAACATAAACCATCAATATCAGCCTTTTCACCTTGACAGCACCTCGCAAGTCCGTTCACTAGACACAAATTCACAATGCAGACCAAGACTTTCCTCACCACCCTTCTAGCCGCTTTCCCCGCAGTTCGTGCCTTCAAGTTCACTGGCCCCGACCCCGCCGAGCCCATCGATTTCAGGAAAGATGTTATCATCACATGGGAGGGCGACATTCCCGACAACCTCTCACGCAAGTTCGACTTCACTTGGTATTGTGAGCCTGATCGTCTGAATAAGCTCAGCTCTGATATCAGTCGCTTTGTCGATGACATCTATCTGTCTGACCACAAGTACAAGTTCCGATTTCACAACTCCAAGTCGATGCTTGAACCATTTGCCGACAAACTCGCTACCAAGAAAGTGTTTTCTTTCCAGGCTGTGTTCACGGATGAGAAGCAAGATGGTCTTTGGCTCGAATACTGGAGTCAGAATTACACTATTATTGGACTGGATAAGAAAGAGGATGAGGATCCAGAGGTTGATCTGTAAAGGATTGAGGCTAGCTATGAGGTAATGACAAATCACAATGCTATTGTTTTTGCTGCAAGAGATTGATAAGGGGTAAACGGCTGTCTTGATTATCGCAAGTCTGTGAAAAAGAGAATTGGAAATTGAATCTGACGTACGTGCTACTGCATATCGCGTGAAGAGGCCATCAAGTTGACTTTGTCCGGGACTTGTTGCCGTTAGAGGCAGATCAGCAGATCAGATACAGGTCTAGTGTTTTACCAAGTTTCTATGCTGTGGATACATAGGCTCTCGCAGCAGCCCTTGTCTACACTCTCATTCTGTCAATGGCGTCTCGTAATATGGAGCTGCCAAACAGCCGGTAACCTTGATCTCTCTGTACCCCATGAACATCTGCTCCAGGTCGATATGACCTGATGATCCGTGCTCCATACGCTCAACCACACCTCCTGACTCCACATCTCGAGACCGTTTCCAACATGGGGCCGTTGACTCGACAGCGGAGTCATCGAATCAGACGGCTTCCGTAGCTCAGTTGGTTAGAGCGTCGTACTAATACTTCAACCCGAGTGTCGGTAAATGCGAAGGTCTCAGGTTCAAGCCCTGGCGGGAGCAATCCCATTGCCCTCTGATTCTTCTTTTTGACGATATACTATTCGATATTCTTTTGTGGTTCGTTCAGGCTGGGTGCGGTCTGAAGATTCCATGTCATTCTCACGGGAGACTCATTTTTGGACGGGATGATAAGAGACCGAACAGTGGGGCTGATGTACTTTATCGGAAACATGCCATTGGCCAATTCTCTGTTCACCTGTTCATCCTCTCAATAATGTGTGCAAGCAACAAAATCACATTATGAAACCGTGGTGACATATGTTAAACGTGAAGGAATCAAGTACCTGGCTTGTATTGAAATGTCCTTCTGGCAATCAATGAGCCGTATAATCCATTGCTTCATGTCTCAATGAGTCTGAGTAACACTGTCTGAAATCTTCTCCAGTCTCGCAAGTTTTCCTCGTTCTCCTCGAAATCAAGGATCCTGTTGCCAAACGGTCTGTCATCCAATTATAAGGCCTGGTTCCGTGGTCTAGTTGGTTATGGCATCTCGTTAACACCGAGAAGGTCCCCGGTTCGATCCCGGGCGGAACCACATTTTTGCTTTTGTGGACAAAGAACTCGGATAAGATGGCTACTGTTTTATCGGTTGGCTGTGATTCCATATCCTGGCTCAAAGCTGCAGAGAGGTAAGATACACTTGATGTTCCTTTTGTTGTGATATTGCTCTCGGGACATAACTTTACTTTGTGTGTAAATAATAGACTTAGTTTTTTTTGGCCTGTTAAGAGTACCACACGGTTACTCACTCGATATCGAAGAAAATTTGATTTTAGTATTTACCCGAATCACTGTAACATATTCCAAGAGTTATTAATATCTTGAATTCCTGATGAAAGCCTTCCGTTGGAAAGCAGAACTTCAAAAGTGCAGGGTAAGAAACTACCTTATCAACGAATATATGCACTAAGATAAGGTGCGATAAGATAAACGCATAGCCACTTTTGCACATCGCCCCACAACCTTTTAAGAAACGAATCAGTGCCTCAACTCCGCGCTACCTTGAAACAACAACACAAATGCAACATCGCAAAGCATAGCCTCTCTTGTTTAACTTTCGCAGCCTCTCACATACTGGAGAGTCTTGAGTTTTATCACTTCACATACATCCGAAATCATCTTCCCTTTCCTTTTATCATCGAAAATCTTTCACTCTCTCCCGCTTCTCCTCATAACTCATGCAGTCATGACTATGTCGCCTTCGACTGTTGCCGTAGAGAGCGAGACCGCAGTTCCAGCTCCATTCAACAAAATCGGTGGTGCTTCTGTTCAGACTTACTTCCAACGCATCCGCAAAGCCTGCGGCAAGTGGCCATGGGAGCTCTTCGACGAGGAACGTTTGTCTCCACATTGGACTGTATACTTGCTTCAGAAGTTGCACCAGGCTATCAAGCTTGCGCAGTCCTCACCTAAGATTTCGCTCACGCTTGTCATGAAACATTTGGAATCCATTGTCGAGAAGGGAGGCGCGTACTCCAAACTCAAGGGCCGAGATATCACATCGACAATCTAGTGGATTGGAGAGAAGAAAGAGGCCCTATCCAAACAGACTCCTTCCAACAAGAAACAAAGAAAGACGACCGAGAAAGAAAGTCGAGCAAACAATTCCCAGAAGCCTGGTGCCGGTCTTCCGCACACCGGAGACGGAGATAGCGCCAAGAGTAGTGATGCTACTCTGGTTCACGATAAAATCGTCGTCGCGCCTTCACCAAGTCCGCCCCCTCGACCCAGAGTCTACCAGAACGATGATCGCGATATTGCAACGCCACCATTCATTGACCTGACCAAGTCTCCGTCTCCCGAACCACTCGGTAATGGGCTTACCGAGAGCCAGCCAACAGGGGATGCAAGTCGGCGTAAAAAGAGAAAAGCCGCGAGTGAAGTCACAGCTGGTAGCGCCCCTGCGACAAAGCGGCAAAGGAAACCATCTAAGCCTATTTGTACGCCCAGTGCTACTCACGGGGCGAGCCACAAAGATGTGAGAAAAAAGGACACCACAGATGATGAGGTAAAAATGTCTCTCCATGACCCTGAAGCACAGTATTGACTGATATTTTGCTATAGAACACACAAATCTCAGGATTGAACAGCAAGACTATCGCCATTCGAAACGAGGCCGACCAAATCATCGCCCAGCAGAACGAGAATGAAAAACGACTCAAATCATTGAACTCCTCGCGGCAACTGCTTCAGCAAGAACTTAACACCGCACAGAATGACTTGACTAGAATCCGACAGGACATCCAGGACAGCGCTACTATCCGAGGCTCTATCCTCCGAATCATCCGGCGCCGAACCTCTGAAAATGTTGATGGCTGGAAGATCGCCCTCGAACGCTGCGACAAGTCTTTGAGAATATTTAGAGATGACTCAAAAAAGACTACTGAGCTCTTGAATAAAAAGAAGCAAGACGTCAAGAATGTTGATGAGATGGTTGGTTTGGCGAAACGAGACACAGAGAAATGTACTCAACAGGCTAACGCAGCTGGATGAATTGACTCGCAGCAACACCGGCTCTGATGTTCTATAAGTCATGGTCGATATGGTACCTCTGGGACTGGCGAGCCTTGGTGGAGAGAAGCTGACAGAACTGGAGCGATTGGTGGTTCCGGCCGTAGGAGGGAACGAAGGGGACATTAAGATGGGTGAGGAATGAGTACCCAGTGGAGCCAGTGTAGCGGGCACTTTGAATGGTGTGGCAATCTGGGATTCATGCTATCGATATTGAGGCAAGCAGTATTCCTCAGAAAGTGCAGTCTCATGAACTTAGCTACCTGAAAATATTGCGACAGAAGAACTGAAAGTTGAGACCCCTGCCCATCACAAAACCCATCATTCACCTGGACCGCGAGCAGTCCAGTAGGTTTTGATCGTTTTTGCCATTGTCTCTCATGCCATGCTAGCAGTATATAAGAAATTAGAGACGCATTAAACCTGCCACGTGCCATTATCTCGTGCTTAGATCCCCCCAAGTTTTCACGGCGGGAATATCACCAGTGCCCCGCCCAATGCGGTAAAATACTCAGCACACAAAACCAGACACAAACTGACCAACAAAACGAAATTAAGTCTTTAAGTTACAAAAAGAACATCGACAACGGCAGGATTCGAACCTACGCGTGCGAACACAATGCCTATGATGTCTCGGAAGAGATAGCAGGGCATCGCCTTAACCACTCGGCCACGTTGTCTTATCTTATCGATGAGGTTTTCGCGGGCAACAAGGCTCTATCAGAAGACGCAGTAGACATGGGTTGTTATTTTATCCACCTTCCAGAAAAGGCGTTCTGATGGGGCTTTTATCAGACGTGCATATCAAAGTTTTAATCTCATGATGATCAGCAACCTCGGTATTGCAATATGTCTGGGGTTACATTCATCCTCAGAACCGCATATGCTCTTAGTGGATGAGTTGTTTTTCCATGCCTCGGCTGCCGTTGCTTGCGTGGCACCTCCACTTTGTGCATGCCACCATCATGTTATACACTCGCAATATAATTTCTATCATCCATCATACGGACAAGAGCATCCACGTACCTTGGTTTGTATAGTTGACAACTGCAAAGATGTCCGATAACCCAATGACGCCTGAAGTTCAGGTCGACGAAAATACCTCCGACTCTGAGTCCGTCTTCAGTGCCGACTCCGTGGGAGCAACTACATCCATCGCTAGCAGCGTGCTCAAGTACAAATGGAAACATGGTCGGCGATACCACAGTGATCGCGCAGGACAGTATAGTTTCCCCAACGATGACCAGGAGCAGGATCGCCTTGACATGATTCACCACGTTTTTTGCCGAACTGTAAAGGATCGATTGTTTCTGGCTCCCATAGAACCGGAGGGATTGAATGTTCTTGATATAGGAACAGGAACAGGAATCTGGGCGATCCAGTTTGGAGACGAGCATCCTTCTGCGACTGTGGTCGGAAATGACCTTAGCCCCATACAACCAGACTGGGTTCCTCCAAATGTCAAGTTCATCGTTGACGACGTTGAAGCTGAATGGGTTGAACCAATCCCATATGATTATATCCACTGCAGATACATGGCCGGATCAATCAAGGACTGGCCTAGACTACTGCGACAAGCATACGCCAACTTGAAGCCGGGCGGTTGGATCGAGCTTCAAGAAACAGCCAATACGCTCTATTCCGAGGATGACTCGCTCAAGCCCGACAACGCGTTAGTTCAGATGATGGACCATCTAAAGCTAGCCTGCGATAAGATTGGAAGAACCATGGATCCTGCGCCGTCTTTCCAAGAATGGGCTAAGGAAGCTGGTTTCGCTAGTGTCAAAGAGGAGCGATTCAAGCTTCCAATCGGACCATGGCCTAAAGATGAACGACTCAAGGAAACTGGAACTTTGATGGGAGTCAACATGAGAGAGGGTGTAGCTGCATTTACGGCCGTTCTGTTTACTGATGTCTTGGGATGGTCGCGCGAGGAGGTTGAGCTTTTTAATGCGCGTGTCAGAGAGGCATCACGCGATAGATCTGTGCATCTGATGTTTGATTGCTTAATAGTCACTGGTCAGAAGCCGAAAGAATAAGATGGATCAGAATTAATACTGTATAAAATCCATAAAGAACATATCTCCAGTAAACCATTCCCTTCATTTTCCTTCCAGATGCACCGGACAGGCTTCCCCCCGAAACCCCAGGACTGTTTGTGGGCTCGATGTAAACCCCGAATGTTTCACGAGTCATTGAAAATCGAGTCAACAACAGCGCTTTTCCACCCATTCACAAGCAACAAATATCACTTCCCGACAGTAGAATACCCCGGATTTGCTACTTGGACGGAGTCTTCTTCAGACCCCGAATCGTGGGGTAGTCCAAATGTTGACTAGTCTCCGCGGCATTGAACTGGGAACATGGGGTAATTTTACCGCAACAAGGTTAAGCCCTTGACCGATGGAACTTCGCGATCCTACCGGGGATCGACCCATGCTACATTATCCGGGGATACGTCGAAAATAGGACTCTTTTGCGTATCAAGGGACATGATATACGTTCCCGTGAGCAGTTACCGTCTGGCCGAATCTGGGGATTTTCTGTGCTGATCTTGGCTAGTCTTGTGTGTTCCTCGGAGTAGACAGCTTGTCCAATGAGTCGGTCTCCTAGTGAGGTGAGGAGTAAACGCATGGCTTTGCTAACGATGATCACTTCGGGCTTTATGCCACTGATGGAGTGTTATATATCTGAGGAAATACTCAAGAGAAATGAGTTCTCTTACGTAGCTGACTGTTTGTTTGCAGTTGCCAATTGATTTTTCGTTCTCTGACCTACCCCCACTACGCTAAGCCCGAGAGGCATTTTGTGACCATGTTCTCCTCAAAACTTTCCGCCATGTCGTTGGCTTTCCTGTTTCAGGGCTTTCAAAGCGTGCTTGGGAAGCCCACTTGCGCAGACCATACATTCCGCTCCGTAGAGCTCGCCAATGCCAAGATTCTGTCCATCAGCACCAATCTCACCAACGCCGAGCTGCCGTCATTCCCAACCAATGAATGGCCCAATAACTCGACTGATCCATTCCCCGTGTGTCAAGTCACAGTCCAGTACACGCACCCGGGCTGGAATGACACCATCAACACATACGTAACACTGCCAGTGTCAGGCTGGAACGGGCGATTTGTTGGTGTAGGCGGCGGCGGTTGGTCAACGGGGGACATTCCCGACCTTGCACAGCCTGCCTCCAACGGATATGCCGCTGCCACTACAGATGGTGGCCACCTCTTAGCTAACAGACAGGAGCTGGACTGGGCGTTGGATAGCACTGGAAACCTCAACTGGCCTGCCTTGCAGAACTTTGCAGCTGTCTCTCTGGACGATGCAGCGACGTTGGGAAAAGCTGTGACAGCGGCTTATTATGGAAAGAAGCCAAAGTACTCGTACTGGAACGTAAGCACCTCATGCTCTTTGGAGATGAACTTCACTGATGACTTCTAGGGATGTTCGACAGGTGGACGACAAGGTCATATGATGGCGCAGAGATATCCGACTCAGTATAATGGCGTTCTTGCTACCGCTTCTGCTTTCAACTGGGACAAGTTCGTAACATCAGAGTACTGGCCGCAAGTTGTTATGCACAAGCTCGGTAAGAATATCTTCTCATAAACAAAGGACAACTAAACTAATCCGCTGTAGGCTATTACCCTCCTATCTGCGAGCTCAACGCTATTACCAAGGCTGCCATTGATGCATGTGACCAACTCGATGGGGTCAAAGATGGCGTCATCTCGAACCCAGATCTCTGCAAGTTTGATCCCAAGTCTGTCGTTGGTAAATCTGTAGAATGTACCAACCCATCCGGCACAATCAAGATTTCCAAGAAGGGTGCTGAGGTCGCTCGCTTGACATGGCGCGGACCAGAGACAGAAGAGGGCAAGTTTCTCTGGTATGGTCTTGATCGTGGTGCGGACTTGAGTGGTCTTGCCAACACAACATGCACATCGCTGAAGGACTGCACTTCAAGTCCCTTCGCCATTGCTCAAGACTGGCTCACCACTTTCCTCCTTCAAGACCAGTCCGCTATTCTGGACAAACTGTCCCACGAAGAGTACAGCAAGCTGTTCCGGCAATCCGTCAACCGATTTGCCTCAGTCATGGGCACATCAGACCCGGATCTGACAGACTTCAAGAAAGCAGGAGGAAAGTTGATCTCGTGGCACGGAACAGCAGATCAACTCATCCCACACAAAGGATCAGTGGATTACTACAAGCGTGTTCTTGACGAAGACTCTAGCGCGACAAATTACTACAGATTCTTTGAAGCACCGGGTGTCGGGCACTGTAAAGGTGGTGATGGATGGTATCCTGGAAGTGCCTTTGATGCTCTGGTCAAGTGGGTTGAGCATGGAAAAGCGCCCGAGACTCTTCATGCGGAGACTGTTGGCACGGAAAAGCGACGGGCTGTTGAGCTGTGCGCTTATCCGAAGCGGCTGACCTACAAGGGCGGCAACCCAGACGTCGCATCCTCTTTTACTTGCAAGTAAACGCATCGCTTTCATAAATCTTTATTACAAATTATATATATCCAACACATAAAAGAATCTACGCAAAGCTATCAAGCCTAGCCTGCGATCGTCTCGCCTCCTCCTCGTTGCTGTGATGCATATGAATGGTGGTATTAACAGTGATACCAGGAGTTTTATCGCTGGTCGTACTTCGTCCCGCCACTGAATTCGCAGACTCCTTGAACAATTCGTCCTGTGAATCGTTGTCAAGCTTTTGTGTACCGCCCATGACGTTTGTGACGATTCGGCTTTGGTTCGTTCGTCGGGATCGTGGTTGGCCGGTGGAGGAGAGCTCGTAGCGTCCGTAGTTGGAGCCTGATCGGGCGGAGGACATTTGGCCGAGGAAGAGTGTTCGCAAAGCTGGACGATTTGTTAGTGGGATGGAGATTTTGAGGAAGACGGGACGTACGTGGGAGGCAGGTTGCGATGATGGCGACGGCTGTTTCGATCATGGAGACGGTGCATGTCAACATGGTTTCGTTCTTCTTTGAGTAGTAGGCTCGAATGACTGGGGATGTTAGCAGAGCTCGTGGTAGCCAGGTTGGAAGACGCACTGCTTGCGATGACGACTAAGAAACCGAGGGCAAAGATAGCTGCGACACCGATCTTCTGCTTTGTCTTCATCTGGAGCTTCATGACCATGGTGATAGGCAAACTGATGGCTGCGATCTATTAGTCCGGCAACTTGAGTTTGTATCGTTTCAACATACTGATGACGTCGGTACCGATGTTGACTGTTGGGTGGTTAGCATTTCGCATGGAGACACTAGGGATGGAATAACATACGGATGACGGTTAACCAATAGTTCTTCTCTGCCTCCTTCGGGTCGCACTGATCTGTGAAACCGTCAGCATATGTACTGTCAATCGAGAGTGAGATGACAAACAGTTTGGATCTTGAGACCATCTCTTGTCATGCGGGAAACATTGGAAAATGATATGGAAGAAGATGGTGGCCCAGAAAATCACCAACAGACCAAGAGTGACGTTGTAAATAATCTGCAGTTTCGTTCCGGGCGCAGCAAGTCGTTTGTAGAAGAGAACCAGAGCAATCTTGATGGCCCATAACGAGGTGACGTAAAGAATCGATCCGGGCACAATCATCTTGTTGGCTGTTAGCGAATGTCAGTATCGAGATCAAGAGTATCAACTCACCTTCATGATCTGGATAAAGTCATCGCGAGAAGCATTCGCCATATCCGCCATTCCCAAATTCCACATATGTTGCTGGATGATCAAATCACCGATCAAACAACACGCCGCCAGGATAATGAGTCCATCGTCGATCGCCAACAGTCCAAGCTTGCGCACACGAACCCATATTCTCAAAATCAGAAAGATGCACGCAATGACGGTACAAATGTACCACGAAATCTATTTCATTGTCAGCAAAAAAACATCGCCATGTCCTCGTCCAAAGCATAAACTTACAACTTGTCCCAGACCCTCAGCCATTGCGACGTTGATCTGATCTGATCTGCAAAACAACCCAGCACAAGATGCAAGGCAAGGTGGGAATGCAGCAAGACTTATTTCCTACCGAAGGATCCGGAACCACCAGAACCCAAGGCCCCCCTGATCAACAGGACCCGTGGACTCGGTCCTTGGTATCAGCTCATTGTGTAAGAGATTGTCACAGTGAGATTCCAGAAGCCGTTACTTTGTGGAGAGTCGGCGACAGACTTGTCTCTAGCTCCGAAGTGAAAAGCGCACCAAATGTGGATTTTACGCGGTGATATCCAGTCATGACGGACTTGTGCACCTGAGCTAGTGGCGCGGAAAGAAAAACCTCGGAACAACAAGGTGGACACTCCGCACAAATATTGGCTGTGACTACATCTCGTAAGGTGCTGTTCTTTAGTGTCTTGTTTTTGCTAATATCATGACTCAAGTGACATTGAGCGGAATTAGCAGCAAAGGCGTTGGGCTGACGTCCGTGTGTTTGGATTGGTCGATATGATATGCAAGGGACGTGTTTGTCGGCGCCGAGAGGGGATTCCCGTAACCTTCTGCCTCGGGATGTGCCTCGGAGGATCGTCGTGAGGGTTCCAATCCGATGCGAGAGATCTGTGCTTGCTGATTATCAAGCTCGGTCGGCGAACTGGCCCTGCAGCGATTGACCAGGGGCAGCTTGGCCGATCAGTTCCTATCCCGGAGAACAATCTCAACAATCAAGGAACTGTCAATCCACAAATTCTGTCATTTTGCGCTGATGGATAAGCGATGTGGGATCGTACAGTGAGCCTCGGATCCATCTGGCATTAAAAGATCAGCGCGAAATGTCCAATGTGATGCTATCAACGGCAGAGGCTTGCAACTAACAGAGTTGGCCGTGAAGCCACTCAACCTCTGCCCTACGCAGTATATCCGGCGTTTCTTTTCAATAGTCTCGCCAGCCTCCCGCTCTTCCCGCGAACCCCTTTTTTTACTCCCCGACGTCTTTTTTTCCGTTCCCAACTCGAGATTTTACAGGCATTCTGGATCCATGACTCGGATCATGCATGACAAAATCGACCGGTGCACGTTCCGCGAAACTCTATTATAGTGCATGTTCCGGCTGTGTCCTACTGAATACAGTTAGAGGCCCCATCACTGGAGGGCCCTGGTTCCACTGCCGAGACCGCTCAGGCGTCTCTTTGTAGCTAAGCGTCCGCCTCTCGGAAATTCTTCGTCTGTGACATAGGCGAATCGAATTATAGCAAGCATCTTCTGGTGAATAAAACCAAAAGCTGCGGGAACTTCTGTCCACTCATTCTTCAAGCCTTTCTCGTGTCTCAGTCGATCTTCACCTCTTTCCGTCCCGTCACATCACATTCCTCATCATGGGCCTCAGCAGCATGTTCACAACGACCGGTTTAATCCTGGCCGCCACGTGTCTTGTCCCTGTGACTGCGAAGCCGCCTCAACCTCCCTGTCCTCCAATTCCGCACGCTGCTCTCCCTCAGGGTGACATTCAAGGTTTCCGTGACAAGCACTGTAACGCTGTTTATCTCGGTGTTCCTTTTGCCGCATCCACTGGTGGCCAGAACAGGTAGGTCATCTAATTGCTTGTTTCACATTTTGATGAGCTGACACTGGTGTAGATGGAAGGCTCCTCAGGACCTTCCCAAGTCTCGTTCCAAGTTCCAGGCTACGTCATATGGTGCGACATGCCCTCAAGCTATCTCAAACGATGCCTTTACTCGCCAAGATGAGGATTGTCTGAACCTTAACATCTGGGCCCCATCCAAGGGCAAGAACATGCCTGTCAGCCCTACCCTACCCGTCCGCATATTATTCCGAGACATAAACTGACACCCACTAGGTATTCGTCTACATGTATGGTGGTGCTATGGTCACTGGCTCCAGCAGCAACCCCCAAATCCAGGGCACAAACTTTGCTCGCAATGGAGTTGTTTACGTCAACTTCAACACCCGCGAGAGCATCTTTGCTTCTCCTCACTCTTCCGAGCTGAAGACCGCCAACCCTGATGAGACACAGAACTTTAGCATCTTGGATGTCGAGAAGGCTCTTGACTGGGTCCACAAGAACATCAAGGGTATGTTTCACGCTTATCGATCACATGTAGAACGTGACTAACGTTTATGCAGCCTTTGGTGGTAACCCTGATCATATTGTCTTCGGCGGTCACTCTTCGGGTGGTGTCCAGGTCGATCACTACCTTTGGAACAACCCTAACACCTTCCTCAAGGGTGCCGTCGAGATGAGCGCCAACGCCATGTCCGGCCCCGCTTACGCTCCCGTCGATGAGGCTCTTAACGCCGTCGCTGAGGAAGTTGGCTGCCCTGAGGGCGGTAACGGACAGCTCGACTGTCTCCGTAGCAAGGACATTCTTGACTTCCAGACCAAGAACTTTAACTCCACCTTCAACACTTGGTTCACTCCCGTTATTGACGATATCACCCGCTTCTCTGACTACTCTGCCCGTTTCGCTGCCGGAAACTATCCTTCCCATGTCCCCATGCTGACTGGTACCTCCAATGGAGAGGGCACCATCTTCAGCCTCGTCTACGGTGCTGAGAACAGCAACTTCAGCTCTTGGATCAACACCTTCGATGCTGATAGCGCTCATATCCCCGATGAGTCTCTGATCCAGGCCTACAACCCCAACGACTACGCCACCGAGTCTCTCCGCAGCGGTATCCAGTACGGTGATGCTCGCTTCAACTGTCCCGTTGACTACCTCCTCGACATGCGAAGTGAGCAGCAGAAGACCTGGGTCTACCGCTTCTTCGGCAAGTACGACAACGTTGTTGGACCCCCCAACACTGCTCCTACCCACGGTACCGAGGTTCCTTTCTTCCACGGTGGTAACGAGTGCTTCGCCGCTCTCCAGGGTGTCACCAAGGCTCAGCAGGCCCTTGCCGATTCTATTCACAACTGGTTTGTTCAGTGGATCAAGAACCCCGCCGCTGGACCCGGCTGGGATACCGTTGACAAAGCTGAGGAGGTTGTCAAGCTTGGAGTTCCCGGTGACGAGCTTGCCCGTGGTAAGGCTCCCCGCAGCGAGTTCAACGCTGTCTGCCAGGCTGTAAGTTCTCATACCATATTGGTCCTGAAAGACTCGATGCTAACATGTCCCAGGTCTACAAGCCTAACTTCCCCAAGTACCCCGTCGTCCAGTCCGTCGCTGGTCTTGTTGAGGAGTTGTTGGGCTCCGCCTAAGTCTTTATGCATATAGATTACGATCTGCCTCCGAGATATGAATAGTGTTGGGACACATGATGAAGCAATGCTGCAGTACCATTCTTGACGATTGACTTTAGTCAACTATGGAAAATTGATAGATAGATAGATAATTATTAATTGAGATCATTCTCTAACGCCACTGCTTTGTTTCAGGATCAAGAACGTCTTTCTCAGCCTTCTTCCAATTCTCGATAACCTGTACCTTCTTTTCCTCAGACCTTGGAATGATTCTAGCTGGAAATTCTTCAGGCATGCATACAAAGCCTTGCGTCAGCTTATCTGGATCTGGCAACACAGGCTTACCATTCTCATTTACACTAGGCTTGATGTTGAACGCCCATAGGATCCGCGAAATGCCTAGAAATAAGCTTCGTTCGGCAACATGAATTCCAGGGCAAATACGACGACCGGCACCAAAGGTGAACTGATCTCGCTTCGACGCATCTGGATTGGCTGCGGCGTCTGCCAAGCTCTGGAAGTCATCTCGGTACCTGTCAGGGTTGAACTGGCGAGGATTAAGATGACGTTCAGGATCCATGTGAATACCCCAGACGTTATTGAGAACGCCTGCTCCCTTTGGGATGAGATATCCGTTGTAAGTATCGTCTTGCGTGACAGCATGAGGAACAGCACCGAGGATTGTTGTCGGCATCCATCGCAGTGTCTCTTTCATGCATGCACGGACATACTGAAGGTTCTGCTCGTCCTCCATAGTTGGCATGCGCTTACCAACTACCTTGTCGATTTCATCCTGAGCTTTCCGCTGGATGTCAGGATAGAGGAGCATTGCCTGTACAAAGGCATACAGGGTGCTGGACGTCGTGTCTGATCCGGCTTCAAGGAGAGTTCCAGAGATGTAAGCAGCTTGCGCATCATCAAACTTCTCCTTCTCCTGCGCCTCCGCCAACCCAACACAGAAGCATGGCTTGATAGAGCCATCAGCGATGTCTTGCTTCGCCTTAAGCCAATGGCTCAGGTAAAGATCCTTCTCCTTTCTATGGAGCTCCTTGGCTTTCTTCTGCACAGGCAGGAGAAAGTCGGGCAGCTTTCTAAGTACGGGAAAAGAGTCAAGGAGGGCAGCGATACCTGTCTGGTTGATCTCGGCAAACTCAGCAAAGCCGTCAAATAGCTGCATGAGCTTAGGGTCTCGGTAGATAGGCGACCGCCAGCCAAATACCATGGTTGTCGTGAGTGCGTTGGAGTATCGACGAATACTCTGGAGGAATTGATGGGGTTGAACCACCATCTCGTATAGCATTTGCTTGTTCTCGAGGTCTTGGTAGGGTACGTAGCTCTTGGCTGTGGTGACATTGAGGAGCGAGTGAACCAGCTTGCGGAACTTCAGACTGTGTTAGTCGACTCTATCATAGCTGGCCTAGCTCATGTCTACTTACGGATCTCCATGTTGGCCCATATCCCTAAGGAAAGAAATGACTGTTATTGTCATTGCACGCAAGGTTAGGGTCGAGAATGACGAACCATCATGAGAAGTCGGAGGCCACCGCTACCGAGAATCTGCCCAACGTACATTTCTTGTCGGTCAGAGTAGAGCGCACTTTTCTTATCGAGCAGATCCTTGACAGCCTGGGCGCTTGACAAGACAATGAACGGCTTGGTGCCCAGAATGAGACTATAAACAGGCCCATACTCGTCTGCCCACTTACGGAATTGCAAATGAGCATCCTTCGTGGGCATCTGATACCAACAGTTAGTGTGTTCGTAGATTCTCTCAAAGATACTGACCAAGTGAATATTTCCAAGGATGGGCAGTGTAGGAGGGCCGGGCGGATAATTCTTGGGTCTTCTGCCAGTGAACAGAAGACGTGCGAAGATGGCGGCGAGAGCGACCCAGAATAATTGCACGGTCAGCATGATGGAGAAATATGAGTGAAAAATAAATTCAATTGTTTCGTGAGCTGGGAGCGAATTGTAATCCTTACATTTACGGGCCTTTATATAAGACGTGGCTCATAATCAAGCGCCTCGTGTCTTGTCCTGTCTTGGAGCGATGTGGGATAGCCATGGACGCCACAATATCAGGTCTGGGGAGATATCCTCTGTACCACTTTTCCTTCCCTGTCCTGAACTGTGTCCCCAACTGTGCAAAATAGTGATTGACCAACTTCTGAGCTCTCATTCGCCTCCCACAAAGACTCCGACTAGTCCCGTTTCCTCCACGGAGCACTGCCCCACTTCCCCGCGATCTGAAACCTAAACCGGGATCGAGGCCGGAATGCGGAGTTACATCATCTTTATCCCATCAAAGCTGCATTCTTCCCTCGTCACAATCTACCCACATCGACATCCGACAATGTCTGACAACGCATCATCGTCAGAGACCGGCTTTACATGCTCCCGCTGTAGCAAGACGTACAAGCGGCGAGAACACCTCCAGCGCCATGCTACATCCCACAGTAGCCTCCGACCTCACAGATGTAGCTTCTGTGGCCAATCATATCAACGGGCTGATGTTCTCAAGCGACATGCTCTAGCTTGTCAGACCAAAGTCAGGGCCGGGGAGGTATCGTCAAGTAGCCGACGAGCATGCGACCTCTGTGTCCAGCAGAAGAAAGCCTGCAGCACTGGCCAGCCATGTGAACATTGCCGTCGGAAGTCGGTCCAATGCGTTTACTCCTTCAGTTATGCCCTAGCAACAGAAAGCAACTTGCTTGTAGGCCAGGATGACAAGCAGTATGCTGATGAAGCCAGCCTACCGACGGTGGTATTTGGAGATGATGCGCTGTTCGATTATCTTGGCAACTGTACTTCAGTGACTGATATGCTCCAAGGATCAGATAATAATCAAGACTGGTTGGACTTTATTAACCTCGCCGCCGGTCATCTGCAGACAATGCCGACCAGTCCCCAAACGCACCTAGACAATTACACCTTTCACTTTCTCGACAACTTCACAAGAAAGTCTGGGCTGGTGGACTCATTCGACTGTGGAACATTTGAACAGCGAATGGAAGTTGAAGCATCTCACCGATCAGGGGAGTGCCATGCTACGCAAACCACCGAACTAGACGAGCTTGTACACCTCAATAGCTCATCGGTGGATCATCCACAACCGCAACCATTAGATCTCCAGGACCCTCTCATCATACAAACTCACCAAATACTTCTAGATATCAAACAGGTCGTTACCGTCAAACCTCGAAACAGTGTCGTTGAGTTGGAATGGTCGACTATTCTAGAACAGACATGCATACAATTCTTTTCTCCGCATAACTTACGGAAATATCTTGCACTCTTCTGGCATATATGGCACCCAAACGTCAACTTTGTGCACCGCCCTACTTTTGACCCGGTGACCTCGAAGTCGATCGTTGTAGCCTGCATGGCATTTATAGGTAATTGAAAGTAAAGCCATTTATGATGGGTAGATCCTGACGTTGATAGGTGCAAGTGTATCGCCAAGCAAGACTGATAACGAACAGGCCAAAATCTGGTTCAATTGTGTCGAGGAAATTGTCTTTACGGATGACGACTTTTGCAATGATCCTCTAAATAACCAGGACACCCCGTTGCTGAGCCCGGTTCAGAACATCTCGAATATCCAAGCTCTGCAGGCAGCATATATGGTCTGCCTCTACCAGGGCTGGGAGGGAACAGAAGCCAACAAACGACGGATCCGTCGATACCGGTTCAGTACTGTAATATCTGTAGGATGCCTCGTCTCTCCTAGTTTCATCAACTAATTAGTGTTTAGATGGTAAGAGACTTCGGCATTATGTCTGCTAGGCACCCAGATTACTCCACGTGCCTATATGACAGATTTGATTGGAGAGACTTTGCTGCACGAGAGCAACTCATACGGTAAACAGGCTTCAACTACATGTTGATTGATAACTGACATCTGCGCAAGCATATTTCTTTGGATATATCTTCTCGATCACGCCTTCGTAATCTTCAATAATCTGCCGCCGAGGATGGTTATCAAAGAAATGAGCATGCATATGGCATTTCCTGAAGCAGCATTCCAAGCCGGCACATCAACAGAATGCGCCCGAGAACTACAAAACTGGCACTTGAGATCGACACTGTTACATAACATAACCTTTCGTGAAGTGGTTGAGAGCTTTTGCGGGGAGTCATTCTCGAATGACATGCGACGACTCTTCGCTGGTCTTGGGCCTCTCAACCTCTTCGCGGTTGTATCAGGTGAGACAACCAACAAACTCCGACTGCCCTCCTATTCTGATACAGATTATAGCTTTTCATGCACTGATATTTCAGCACCAAAATTCCTTTGGCGGCCATGATCAACTGCAGGCAGTTCGCAACGCTCTCGACAATTGGAAATCAGCTTGGGAGACGTACTCAGATGAATTTTCGTTCTCACCGCCGCATGTCATGGTGGACAGACAAAACGTGGCAACGGAGAATCTCTGGAGGAGAGTAGGCTTTATGCGTCATTCTCCAGAATATTGGCTCCTGGGGAAACTGCTCGTGGATCGCCTTTCAACGTCAAGTGACTCATTGGCTAGCCCTGATTCTGCGGTGCCTGATGCGAGCGGCTCAGCACACGAACCGATTCTTACGAGATATGATCAGACGAGCATGCTTCAAGTGAATGACTTGATCACAGGGTTTCAGAACGTACACATTCACTAGACAGGCTGTCAATTAGAACCTTTTCGCCGAACTATCTCATTGATGCAACTGCCATGCGGAGACATAATTCACTGAAGCCTAGCCCGCCCAGCTTCCGTATGCAGTCGGTAGTCCATGAACGGAATTGCTTGAGGTCGCCATTCCGCCCCCACATCGTCTCCGACCGGCATCTTTCAGCGGCAAGTAGCCTCGGAAATGCGCTGTAACCCCCGCGATTTGCTCCCAGCGCATCAAAAGCCTAATAATGCGGGGGATTCTCTCGCATGTTGGAATCTTGTGTTACATTGTCAATTGCAGCGAAAATGACACGGACAACAGCACTTATCGCACCAGCCTTGGATGGCAGTTTTGAACTAAGGGAGGTCTATTTGGACTCTCTGCAACCAGATGAAGCGCTGATTGAGATCCATGCGTCTGGTGTCTGCCATACTGACCTTTCCTGTGCAAGTGGTAAATTGCCATGCGCGCCGAATGCGGTTCTTGGCCACGAAGGTAAATGAGGTCGGGATCCCTTGTCAAAAATATGTGTGCTGACTATCACGGCCATTACAGGAGGAGGCGTTGTTCTTGAGATAGGCGCAAATGTCACATCGGTCTCACCAGGCGACAAAGTTCTCCTGTCCTTCTCATCCTGTGGCTCATGTCCTGGGTGCAAATCAGACCATCCGGCCTATTGCTACAGCTTCAACGATTACAACTTCGGCGGAAAGCGACCGGACGGATCATCTGCCATGTCCGTTATGAAAGATGGGAAGAAGCAACCGATTTACAGCACCTTCTTTGGCCAAAGCTCTTTTGCGGCTCGAACTATTGTTCATCGATCGAGTATTGTCAAGGTACCTCAACAAACACCACTTGACCTCTTTGCGCCCCTGGGATGCGGCATACAGACCGGCGTTGGTGCTGTGTTCAATACTTTGGATGTCAAGCCTGGTAGCTCCATCGCGATTTTCGGCGTGGGGTCTGTTGGCTTAGCCGCTGTGATGGCTGCAAAGGCGCGAAAGGCTAGCAGAATTATCGCCATAGACCTACAGCCAGAACGACTAAAACTCGCCAAAGAATTAGGCGCTACGGATGGAGTGCTCGGTCCCGATCAGGAGTACATCATCAAGGCGATAAAGAACATCTGCCCCCCTCTTGGTGTCGACTTTGCAGTTGACTGTACTGGCGTCCCCTCCATCATTGAAACTATGGTCGCTTCCTTGGGAATGAGGGGCAGGGCGGCTACAGTTGGCGCACCTGGGGGCAACGCGCATGCTAAGATAGATATCATGAGTCATCTCACGTACGGCAAGGAGTACGTGGGTTGTTCTGAGGGCGACAGCAATCCTGGGGTTGTGAGTACAAGTCCTGCCTTTATCCAAACCTACTGTTACTGACCGGTCTCCACCTAGCTGATTCCTGAGCTCATCGAGATGCATGCCAATGGCCTGCTGCCACTTGAGAAGCTGATAGCGTACTATGATATCAAGGACCACGAGAAGGCTATGGCCGATATGAAGAGTGGAAAGGTCATTAAGCCAGTCTTGAAATGGACTGGATAGTGTCCATACAATCGGGGAGTCATGTTTCTTCCAAGAATGGTTTTATTGGCTACACTTACTTATCACATCTGAGACTCATTGTTATACAAGCAAAGGGAATTAAATCTATTGTGAAGCAGTTAATTCAATCTCATAGAAGCACGCTCCGATGCTGTTAGTAGTCAAATAAAGAAGCTCGTCCATCACGCGGTATTGCCGACATTCCGTGGATGCAATACAGGAACGTGATTCACACGTCTGAGCTCGATGAAGAACCCGTTTCGGCTGCGAGACCGTTTGCCAACGGGCTTCTCTCCGAATTGCACATGGTTCTGTAACATCATAATCTTTGTTTGCTAATGCATGAATGGACCTTGTGGCATGGTTTCCCCCAGTGTCCAGACATCATCAGCGTGGAGATCGATGCTGGTACCCCAACTACGATATCGGGAAATGTTGTCCGCTTTTAGTGCTAATTCCTTTGTAGAGTTACAATGTATTGCCTCCCATTGGTCGAGATCAATTCCATGCCTCTAAAGTCTTGAGGTCTAGTGGCTTGGCCTAGAATTGGAGAAGCCACAAGGTTGAAGCCCGCGGAATGATTTTCCCAAAATAGGCAACCCACCATGATCCCGACACTTTAGCTCCAACGCCTTGGCCTTCCCCAGATAATTTCCCCGCGGGGAACGAAAGTGTTTCTTGATTTGTTGCTTTCCATGACTCGAAGCTACGATGGCGGTCTTTTCTGTACCAGGTGGCTATATAACATCATCATGCCCTCCGCTGTTCTTGTCATTCCCTATCATCATCGCATCAATCATACCCTTGTCTTTGACCAGCCTCATTACTCGACATCACCGGATCCAGAGCTCGCACAATGTCTACTGACAGCCCTTCTCCTAGTGGGGTTCCTCCCAAGGATCACCCACAAGTCGAGAACATTGAAGATCCCGCTGCTTCATCAAACAATTCTCCTATCGTCTTCCTAGATGAGGAGATCTCCTACGGCAAAGGTGGCATTCGTGGCGTCGTCCAATCGCCATACATCTTCGGTGCTGCCTTTTTAGCGTCCATGGGAGGCTTTTCATTTGGCTACGACCAAGGAGTCATCTCAATCGTCAACGTGATGAGTCAGTTTCATGAGGCATTCCCTCGCACTGAAACTGCATTTGGTAAAGGCTTCATGACTGGCATGCTGGAACTTGGAGCTTTTATCGGATGTCTCTTCATGCCTACACTCGCTGATAAGATCTCACGCAAAAAGGCACTTTCGATCGTTGTAATCATCTTCAACATTGGCGCTATCATGCAAACTGCGGCTAATTCCTATGGCCTTCTGGTAGCTGGAAGAACTATAGGTGGTATTGGCGTCGGAACACTTGCAATGGTATGTAGATGTCGTTCTTGTTCTTCTGGGCCGGCTAACGGAATAGGGTGCTCCAATCTACATCTCTGAAATCGCACCGCCCAACCTGAGAGGAACCCTACTTGTCCTCGAGTCTGTCTCGTGTGTTCTAGGCGTCGTTGTATCCTTCTGGATCACATATGCGACCCGTCATCTCCCTGGCGACCTCTCTTTTCGACTGCCATTTGGCCTTCAGATGGTCTGCAGCACTATTCTCGGCATCGGCATTCACTTCTTTCCCTACTCGCCACGATGGCTTGCTCTCGTCGACCGATCGGACGATGCGCTGCAGAGCTTAGAAAAGCTCCGCCGACTCCCCAGAACCGACCCTCGAGTTGAGAAAGAACATATCGGCATTCTCAATGAAGTGGCACTGCAGAAGATCATGCAAGAGAAGCGACACCCAGGCGTCAGCGGTCTAAAGCTTGAGATTATTGCCTGGAAGGATCTGTTCCAGAAGAAATCCTGGCATCGAACTTCCATCGCTGTCGGAGTAGCCTTCTTCCAGCAGCTTTCGGGCATCAACGCATTCATCTACTATGCCCCCACGCTCTTTCAGTCCCTGGGTCAATCGTCTGAAATGTCCCTGATCATGTCTGGTGTCTTCAATATCTTGCAACTTGTCGCGGTAACAGTGTGCTTTTTCATCATCGACAAGGTTGGACGACGGCCACTGGCTATCTGGGGCGGCATTGGAGGAGGTACAGCATGGGGCATCATGGCAGTTTTGGTGGGCATATTTAACGACAAGTGGAGTTCCAATTCATCCGCAGGCTGGGCTGCCGTGGCAATGGCCTTTTGCTTCATCCTCATCTACGGTGTCTCCTATGCTCCATTGGGCTGGGCTCTTCCTGCTGAGGTCTTCCCCAATGCGTCTAGGTCCAAGGGGGTAGCCCTCGCTACAGCCACGGTTTGGCTCTTCAACTTTATCGTCGGCGTTGCAACACCTCCCATGATTGAGAGCATTGGGTTCGGTGTTTACATCTTTTTCGGGTCTTGGTGTTTCCTCGCGGCTGTTTGGGCCTTCTTCCTGGTCCCAGAGACCAAGGGGAAGACATTGGAACAGATGGACGAGATCTTCGGTGACCATGCAGGTCAGGAGGAGTTGGAGATCATGCAATCCAGGATGGGTATCGCCGGGTATGGGCTGAAGAAGGATGTGGTGCAGGTCTGAAGAGCCCTCGAGTCCGCTGAGGTGATCAGTACCTGGAAACGTTAGCGCATTTGGGTAGAGGCTCAGCGCGAGCTATACTCCAGCTCTGAGGTTTTGCACGACAGATGATGTATCAATATATTAACTATTGCAATTTCGCCATATCTTCTACTTATGCCACTTCAATCTTTACCTTTTTCATTGCGTTTCACAAGTGACAGGCCTCCCAGGCAATGGCTTTACAGGTTCTCCGATCTACTCATTGCTATTTCCGGCCTTCTTAATCCTTACCATTACAGGCATGCCCTTACTGGGATGTGCAGTCAGCTCTCCAGGCATTTGTGCCTGATAAGCTTGATATCCCAGCAGAACTTCATCCTTTTCCTTGTATGCAGGCACAATATCGAGCTCCCTGACGGTCATGGCAAGAAGAAGCCTCAATTCTGTCAACGCCAATTCCTGGCCAATGCACCCCCGAGGACCTAGCTCAAATGGTCGAAACGCATTCTTGTGGGCGACAGGATCAAGCCACCTTTCTGGGATAAACTTATCGGGTTCAGACCAGAACTTGGGATTTCTATGGATGGCCTTGCTTGCTGAGAAGAGGATGAAGCCGTCTGTTGGAAGCTGCTGTCCTGTCTCAGGATGTCTCAGGAAGAATGTCGGAGAGCCTTCTCGGCAAGATCCAATTGGCGGTTCTAATCTCAAAGTCTCTTTTATGATTGCAGTGGTATAAGAAAGCTGGTTAAGCAATGTCGGGGTTTCGGATATCCGTCTGGTTGCATCGGACGGGTCAGCCCCCAAGACCGTATCGTGCTCCAATCGCAACTTGGCAAGGACATTAGGATGTTGGTAAAGATAATTGTAAGCAAAGCAGAGTGTAGATGCAGTGGTGTCATGGCCAGCGAAGAGAAAGATCTTGAGGTTCTCAATGGTAACATCCAGAAATTCTGGATCAATAGTGCCACCCGAAGTGCCCTCGAGGCCATGTTCCTTCATATACGTTCTGATGGCGAGGCCATTTACGGTCTTTGGCCCCTCTTGTCGTTCGTGATGTTGAAGTTGAGCCTCTATCAATGGCTGAAGTTGACTGCGAAGTTGACGGTTTAGAGACGAGAGGCGAGAGTGACGAAAAGGATTCAGAAGTCTACCCCATTGATGTGGCGACCAGTCTGTGACAAGCAGTGAGATTGCGCTTTTAAGTGTCGGGAAAATCTTGTCGTCAACGCCTGTTTGAATGCCTAGACTTACGCCCAAGACAGAACGACCGATGATATCGCAAGTTGCCTTCATGACACAATCTTCAAGAGGGACAACACATCCATCTTCAGCGATCTTTTGCAGGTATTTCTTCCAAATCAATGCCTCCTCAATGAACTCAGGAACAAGGGCCGTGATGTTCTGTGTCGAAAAGCCAGGATTGAAGGTCGCTCGCCATTTCTTCCAAAACGCTCCTTCGGACAGAACAAGGTCTTTTAATCCCGTTAAGGGACGAAATTGACCTCTGATAATTTCATGCTTCGGTCGCGACGTTTCTTGAGTAAACTGCGCCGCGATGTCAGGGTGAAAGGTTGCCAACATGGGCCATGAGATGGGCCACAGATCGATGTAGCATATACCCAGCTCCGCAATTTCAGGGTAGTCTCGAGCAACAAAGTCTGGCATCAATTGGCCGTGGACATCTTGGGGATACTTGGCCATGATTTTGCCCACGGCGATGAGGTTGCCGAGAAGCCATGAGTGGTCAGGTAGCGTTGGCTGTATGAAATAACGATAAACACGAGACCTGGGTGCACGATTGACTGATTGATTACTCACAAGGTTATACTTTTTGACCGTTCGCCGAAAAAAGACCCGCTGCTGGTAAAGCTTGAAGACAAAGTACAAGATGGACGTGAGGACGAAGATGCCGCCCCATTTCAGTGCGGGACTGGTTCCAGGCATTGTTTATCGCCCAAATCTTCTCAACGGCATTTATTTACAAGAATTGCAATAAGGAATTTATTTAAATAAGAATAAAAGAATGCGAAAACCGCGAAGGAAGCTCTTGCTGACGCTGCCCCTCTTCCTAGTGGCGGAATATCGTTTGCCCAGAATCCCAAGCCAGAGGAAGCCGATGCGGTGCAGCCTATCATTGAGCTTCTTTGGTGAGCGGAATCCCGTTTACTCAACAAGCTCAAACTTTCAGCTGAATCTGCTTCCCGTGATTGGAGAGGCTAATTGAGATTGAGTGATGCTGTGTAGGATGTGCTTGCCATTGAGTTCTATAGAGACTGCAGACTCTGCCCAAAGCTACCTAGCATAAGATACAGTGGTAATCTTCCATGCCTAGAGTTGGGGCATTACAGAGCGGAGAAATGCCAGAACTCTTCAATCTCGTCATTATAGGTCCTAGAACATCTGTTGTTATCATTAATAAGCGACCGTGGTGTAGTGGTTAGCATTAACGCCTTCCAAGCGTTAGAGAGGGGTTCGATTCCCCTCGGTCGCAATGTTCCAAATGTGCTGTAAAGAGGATACTACTTTTTGACCGACTACTGCTTCAAGTTTTCAAATTTTCTCATTTTAGGGAAAAGAATTAAGCGACATTAAGAAATTAGAATTATAGTAAAAATGGTATGCTAAAGAATGCTGTTAATATTTTCCTCCTTATATCTCTAATTATCCTTCCAGCTCAGCCCTGAACTCATATGTCCGTTCCCCTGGCCGTTCATCAGTTGGAAAACACCTAATTTTAGTGTCCCTCTTCTCCACCTCGTCCACTGGAACCTTCTTCGTAGCTCCCGCGATAGCAGAGAATGTCATCACGCGTTGTGCGTTGTTTCCGTCGCTTGACATGGCATCAATGCCGTAGTACACACCAATCGATGCCACAACGAATGAGACGGAGTAAACAGCGACAAGGACTGGCCAACCGTAGTCAAAGAAGTTTGCTTTGCGTCGGCGTTCACATTGGTACTTGGTGTCTTCACCTCCGATGCCGGTACCAGACAGCTTGGATGGGTCGGCAGCCCATGCTACGACAAGAAGCTGGGGATCAGAGAGCAGTGAGATGATCAAGTCTTCGTATACGCGCCGTACCTGTTGCTGGAAATCATGGACGGCAAGACTCTCGTGTCTATCGAGGAGGTTGGTAGTCGTAATAGCCCCGTCTGCTACGACGGACCCCTGGACCTTGACATTGCCAAAGAGCTTCTCGCGAAGTCTGAGCCCAAGGCTATGATAGGCGGCTATACGGCGGTATCGAGCGTAGTCGTTGCGAGGGCTGACATAATTCTTCTCTGGCTCTGCGACATTTCCATCGGCTGTTCCATCCGTGGATTCATTGGTCCAACTGCTCCAGGTAGTATCAATAATCTTTCGCTTGTACTCCCGATCTGTAATATTGTACTTCTGAAATCCTGAGGTGAAGTTGAATGTGACGGTGTAATTGACCTCCCAATGATCGCAAGCAAAGATAATGGGAGTGTAATCGTCGTTCCAGCCATCGGCTTGGCTATCCATTGCATGAGCCTTGGTGTGATCGTCCACGGCGGCATAGCCAATCCAGATTGAGGGCTCAGTTCGAAAGACGCCGAGATGCTTGGGGAAGGGCGGGCCATCGACCTCGGAAGGAATTCCACCGATCGACACGTTGTCCATCTGAGGACGCATGTACTCTCCGAGGTCTGTGTTGGCAAAGTAGGTGAAGTTGGAGGCCGGTACAAGCTGGCTAAGGTTGAATGGCGCTTCAGCATCCCTGAAACTCTTCATCTTGGACCCAACTCCATTGGCAAGCTCTTCGCATTTGTATCCGGGTCCAACAAAATGGACTGTCGTGGAACAGTCCCATCCATCTCCACAGATCTCGAGCGAGATGTTCGCTTTCTGGGTTGTCTGCCCGCTTGAAAATACACCAGCTGCGATGCGATCGAGTGCAGAAGAAGGAACGTTGTAGTATTCGAAGATGTCGTCATCCTCTGCGGCCCCCTCAGCAAGGTTTCCATCTGGCGCAGTCCAGTTGTAGCCAGAAAGTGAGCGACCATTCATGACTTCACCTTCGGCCTTCTTGGGAGTCTGAAAACTCTCTTTTGCCTCATTGCTGAAGTTCAAAGTTCGGATTGAGGGGCAGAGTGTGTCTTCTATCCTCTCGCCTGGTACGACATAGAGTGACGCTGAGGAAAGAATGACAACAAGAGGGCTAAGCCACATGTATAGAGCAAGAAACATGACAAACCACGATTTGATCCATGCCTCCCTGTTGAAAAGCTCGATGATGTTGTGGGTAGCTCCGAACAAGGCATCAACAGCGTGGATCGAGAATCCTTTCTGTCCTACAGCTCGCCATGCGACCTGCTGATGGGCCATGACCGCAGCGAGGATGAAGTTTGCATTGGCGATGAATGAGATCAATTGGCCCAATCGCATCCACCATTGTTGGTGTTTGGCTTCCTGGCCATCAAGATGCATGTATAGAAAGTGATGACCGACTGCGCCGGCGACTCCAATGACCAGGCACGCAATCATGGACCATCGACTCTTCATGATCCTCAGCATCAGAGGTCCAGACTCAGGCAAGGCACCTGCGGTAGGTCGATTTACGACGTGTACATCAGGAACCTTCGAGTATGTGTTATTAACAGGCGCGTGGCCCATCAGTCCTCTGTGACTGTCGTGAGCCCTGTCGTAGTCGGGAGTATCTCGAAGATTTGGGCTCTGGGGATCTATCCATAGTGACTGGTGCGGGAACGTCTCTCGTGCGATTGACTCGGGGGAGACGGCCTGGGGAGGGAACTGACCCAAAGAAGGCTGTGGAGACACAACCGGCTCTGGGAAAGACTGTTGGTGCTGGACAGGAGAATAAGCATACAGTTTACGCTCCTGTCCATCGTTGACGATTTTACCATCCATTTCGCGTTGATCGATATCCACTCGATGAGGTGGTCGCAGGTTGGGTCGAGGTTTGTCCAAGAGAACGAGAGCCCAGTCAGGAGCCGTATCCAAGGATATCTCGACGGGTAGCGCTTATATGGGACGAGAACGTGGCGAAATTGCGCTTGCCTCGCTTTCATTAAAGGGTGTCAGCTACTGCAGCTAAAGAGTAAGCTGCATATTCAATGTTTTTGGCCCCCAGGGCTCAGAGCTATCTGCGGTGACACCTCCCAGTTGGGGAAGCCTGGCCGAGCCGTCTTCTGGGTAAAGGCCAGCCCTCGTTTTTCATAATGTCCTCCTGCGAACAACAACATGGGTATCCATCCCGATGAGACGGGTTTCCTGGGTATCGTCTGATCAGGACCCCATAAGGCTGGTGGCGGATAGCCAAATCGGTGGACGCTAAGAACCTTGTGCAGGTAGTTCCCATGATTAACTGAAACGAGGCTTTGGGTGTCCTATCAGAGTCGCGGCTGTAACGAAACCCCGGCTCAGGAGCTTGTCTTTCAGGCTGCCAAGATCCGTGAATAGTTAGCGAGAGCACTAGCACAGCCTGGTTTGATACGTATCTGAAGCTGGGGTTTTGACAGTTGCTTTTACGCTTACATACCTACAAAGTAGCCGAGAGGTTCTTGAAGAACGGGGTCAGGAGGAACCCAGAAATAGCCTATTATCGCCGCGAACAGGCATTCAACCCATATTTTCTTCGCAAACACCAAGTCACACTTGTACTCGAGACAAAATAAAGTTACCTCACAAGGTTGCAGTAGGCTCGCCATCCCTCCCAGCTGTGCTTACTCCCAAGACTTCACCCATGTTCATTCTCCACCAAAGCCGGTTGCGAATCTAGTTTAGCTCCTTAGCGGAATCCGCCATACGGCTTTGCCGAGATTGCCAACAGCTTACATGCATATAGAACAAGGTGCTGTTTTCACTCCTTTCAATCGTTTTAGGAATCGCAATGCATACCATGATTGATGTGGACTGTAAGCGGGCCAATAGGGCAGATTTGTGGGCGATACAGGGCTGTACGCAGGATCAAGGATTTGATTTGCTGGGTCGGAAGCAAGGGCTTGATTTTGGGGCAATGAAAACTCTCATTTGCATCGCAACTACAGACCATGATTAGTTTGTTGCCGATGTCTTCAGAATGTGAGGGATAGTTGCACAGGTTTTATTTAAGAGCCTACTAGAAATTCGCAATTAGAACAACTTCAACGTGCAGACTTATCGGAAGGCTACTCGAAGCATAATAAAAATATGCATTGGCAATATGGTCTTTAGGGTAGTGAGGAAGCAATCCAGGAATTTTGCTTGGTGAGCGCAGCGATGCTACGTTCAACTGCTCGTATCGCTGAGTACCACTCTGTTCTGCGTGTACTAGTCCTTGACAACAGTGAGGGCGACGAGTATTTTGCCCGTATATAGTTTTTTGGTCTTCTTTACCTTTGTGACCTGGAAGCAGAAGCCTCTGTTAGCCTTCTAACCTCATCGCAGTATGCGTGCTGAAGAACTCAGTGAGATATTAAACCAATGACAAAACTAAGGTCTTGATGGTCCATTTGCGCTTGAGGCCTGTAGCTGAGCGTTGACAACCACCACGTAAAGCTTGGACTTATCCCTTATGATTTACAAGATCCTCACCGTGCTCTTGGCACAATTTGCCATGAGTTCTTCAGTATTGACAACTCCTGGAAGCTTCCCCCAATTCATGTATCCGATACGATAGAAAGAACCCAACTGATCAGTAGGCTGGTACAAAGTCAGTCCTCGAAAACGAAACCGATATTGGTCTCCTCTATCGAGAAACAGTAAAAAATAGAAACGACCCTTTACGTCCTTGAGTGGCATTGCTAGTCGCACGGCCTTATGTTCCAGCCAGTGACTGAAATTTTTGAGATCTGGTTTTTCTAAATGTGAGATGAATTGATCATCGTCTGACCTTTCGTCAAGGTAGAGCTCACCACCTGTCGTTGGGTCTCCAGGAGACATGAAATCTCCTGTGCCCAGAAACAGTCCCACAGATCGATAGACAACCTCAAACAAATAGCCGCTGAGCGTGACTGCTCCGCCCATCAGGAATCCGTCTGGCCCTGGCACACCAAGAGGCATTATCTGCTTGACAGCTACAAAGCAAGGTTCATGAACCAAGTCCTTATCTGTACTGACCAGACAGTCTCCAGCAAGAGAAGCCCAGCTCCAAGACGCTGCCGTGTATATAGCTGATCTCCGTGCTGGAGAACTAACTTTCCACAACAGTGCTGCTGGGAGATGACATCGCCAGAGGCCGGCAAGATAGCCTTCAGTTAGCTGGCGTGTCTGCCCGAAAGATTGCACGACACCTGAGAATGCAACCAAACGGTCAGTTTCTCTCGTCAGTTTAGTTCTCATATATGCTCGGACACGGTGACTCCAAGCATCCATATCGTCTGAATTTCCAGATGGTGCTGACTCCTTGAGGGGCTGAGTTTGACTCCACCATCTTCCCCTGCTGGCTTGCGGTGTTCCCATCGGCCATATCTCGCATGCCAGTTTTTCTCTACAATGCCACCAAAGCTGATGTGAGCCCATGACAAGTGAGCGCTTGGAAAGGTACCATTCTTGATAAACCCATGCCCGAGAGCGCAAAGTGCAATAAGTGATATCGTCCTCTAGGAGGCCATCACACAGCAACTGGAAGACTTCGCCATGAATCTTAACCCGCATTGGCCGGAGAAGACTCTGACGACGGGCCACAAAGCTGGTGCCTGTGCTATCGGAGGCTGTAGCAGAGCACAGGTTCATTATTGCATGCTCGTAGACCTGCTTCATATCCTTTGCCTCTTGCATCCAATCCAACAATGAATCTTGAATAATACACAGTGAATCAATCCATATGTACTTGAAACCAATTCTGAGAGAGAACTGAATGGCTTCTTGATAGGAATTGGGCAGTTAATGGTTGCTGATGCCAAGCCGGAATCGATCAACGTTCTTCTCTAGAAGTTTGATCGCCTCAACTTTGCCCCAACAATGAGAGAATGCGATATATTGAATTGACTCGACAGGAAGGGCCTTTGGGTAAATGAGACGAACGCTCGAGTTGTCAACTATCTCAATCAATCTTGTTGGCCTGTACTCTGGACTGCTGTTTTGGCATTTGACATGAGTTTGACAACAAGAATCAAGCCAGCCCTTGGCAAGCCGGATGAAATCTAGATCATTGTGTGATGCAGGCGGCTTGTAAATGATAGTGCCGACAGTAGGATCTGAAATTCTTGATTAGAAAAAACTGACATGTAAGGCTTGGAAGAATACCAGGTTCTTTCCAAAGCTGGAAGGCCCAGCAACAGCCACTTGGAGCTTTGCCAATGATCAGACCCTCAAGAGTGTCTGCGAAACCGGCATTACGCAGATTTATGGCGTACTGAAAGGAGCTTGAGCGGCACTCTTCGGATCTTCGTGACCACGTGTTACTATGCCGGATGGTGCCACAAAAGTAACAACCAAGATCGGAAGCCTTTTCAAGGTCAAAGCCACTCTTATGATGAGGCTGACTGATGCAACGTAGGTTGCTTCTCAGGGCCGTGTCGCAGACAGCACAAAGCCTCGAAGGCTCAACCAAAGAGAGATCGATAGTCGTCGTCACAGGCTAGAGGTCGGGTCATCGACTGTGAGGACAATGTTTGAATGCTGTAAAAGTAGTGTAAGAGAGTAGGATTGGAGAGGCAAATGAGGGGGCATGGTCCAATTTATGTTCTAGTATTGTTACACTATTATTCAAAATAAGTTAGATGTGCACCTTGGGATGAAATTATTGTTACACTAGTAGGGCAACTCTTAACGTGTAATATGAAGTCTTACATCCTAGATTACACACAGGTAGTACATAACAACTTCATTCACGCGACAAGTCTTACAGCATTTTCTTAGCACAAGTAGTAAGGAGGCTTATTCAGAAACTAAAGAACAGTTAATATTCTGCAGTATCTGTTGCTCAATTTCACCCCTTCGCTATCAAGCTGCCCAAAAGGCTATTCTTTGAGCTTTTGTGTCTTCTCAATACTAAGCCTTCCCTTCGCTGAGCAAGTACTGATCCAATTTGGTGGAACAGGAGGCCCTCAACTCGCACTCCGGGACCGTAGCTTGACCAGCTTCTCCAGTTGTTTCGTCAGACCACTTGACAAGAAACATCGAGGTTTCCGAGGTTTGGTCTCGTGACATGATAGACCCATTGCCTTCAATAAGGGCTTGAATCGCCTTTGAATTACCTTATCGGTAATAGGTCAGTGCATAGTAATACGCAAGACTCGAGCTCGGCAAACCTTCTTGACTCGACATAATGTTCTGGTGTATTGGTTGGTGTAAAGATAATGGGAAACGGCGACAAAACTTGGCCACAGAAATTCCGCTTAAATACACAGAATAAGAAAAGTGTCGCATCACTGTCTATCACCTCTGCTAATCACTGCCGTCTACTACAGGTTGGTAGTGAACCACAGTAACCTGTCATAAGTGCCAACGACGCCCAACATCAGTGAGTGAATCGCTTCTCAGAATCTCAGATATTCATCACTATCAACTCTGATATGACCCGCTGATCACTGTCACTGGTGCCTTCTATGAATCACTGAGGACAACAAACTACGGCTACTTGATGAGAAAAAGCCATGCCCCTTTCTGAACGCTGAAAATTCCCCCTCCGCCCAAATAACACTATTCCAGTGATCAGCTACTCTCCTGGTACAGGATTCACCTAGACAAGATTTTATTTCCGTTGGTAAAAAGATCCTGGATTGTTTGTTTGTTTTCTAATTCTCTTCTAATTGGAAGCTGGTAACGAGCAAGCTGTTGGCTTACCTCGAGGAATTGGCATGGTTCTTGATATGATAATAAGAAATATTTCAAAAAACCATAAGTAATAGCTCATTAATGACACATTGTTTTTTTTTAATTATACGACTATTGCCGGTATTTATATCGTTAACCACTGTAGATACCTTTTTGATCAATGTCGTTCTTGCCGGTATTGCCTGCTAAAAATGTGCAATAAGTTCTTTACTGTCTTCTTTTGTTAATCATGGGTATTTATTGCCTCCTTTATAATTACGATTAGCTCGTATTAATCACCGATTATAATAAAGTTTAGCAGCTTAATAGGGAAATGCTGAAACTCCATGATGCCAATTGAAAAATCGAATCTCGATGAGCCGATGTGGCTCTGACGCTACATCGCCACGTGCCCGGGACTCACTGCATGTTACGGCCGGCGCAGTCGTTCCGGAGCCATCCAATTCATTCTTTTGCTTGTCACTGTAAAGCTCAAGTTTTTCATTTGTGCAACAGACCTGGTCGTGAGGATCCTGACTATCTACCTACCAGTTGCTAATCTTGGTACTTTATATCCTGGATCTGTTCTATACGGTGTAAAACCGGTCACCTTTTTCTTACTGAATGTCCCAGTAATCACCAGCTCTTCTCGTTAATGCGCACTCGACACTTCCGTATGCGCATTCTTCTGGGCAACCTCACATATATTCTAGATCATGTAAGGTTGCTCCTGTAAACCATCTCATCATCAACCTATGTGTACGGGTTTTGCACTTCCAGTGCTCTTCTATCCTGACCGTCATCACTTGATGCTAGCAAAATTCCTTCTTAAGAACAAGAATTTCCGGTATCTAATCTCTCACAGAGTGGAGTTGTTATAATTAACAGACTAAGAGTGTGACTGCAGTGGGTGATTTATAAGGTCCAATAACACTTAGGTAATTATCCTCACTAGTTGATAGAACTATAATGCCTTTCCTGTTCATCGGAAGCATTTGGGAATTTCTGATGTATGTGGGGACGTAACTCGTTGAACGCCGTCATTCGCTTGGCCCCACCAAGAAGTCCCCCAATGCCGGCTTTGACCAACTACGGGAATCCCCCATTGCCGGGCCGCCGCATCTCGAGGCTCAACTCGACAGAAGTCACTTGATCAATACCAGAATTTCCGAGATTATATCCCACTCGGTCAATAACTTGCGAATATCGGAATCGGCCCCACAGGACCCGGTCACTAGGTATCAGGTGTCAGCTAGGTACCTATATAAAGTAGCTAAGTTCCGTCGCACAACCCATCTATTCTTGCTAACTGAAAGGAACTCTATCAATATCTCAAAATTAAAACATGCCACATATTAAGCAGATAGTAGCCGTCAGGAGAAAGCCTGGTCTGACCCGCCAGGAGTTCTTCGACTATCACTTCCAGGTCCACGGCAAACTCAGCCAAGCACCCTCTCTGGATATCACTCCATTGTATGTCGACCCATCTTCCACTATGCATCTCTAACAAGTTCCTCAGAAAGTATTTCCAAACCCATATCCAAGATGCAGTATACAACCATCAAGAAGGTCAAGGCGTCAACGCCAATCCTTGGTGGGCCTTTTCCGACGACATCGTTGAGCTTTACTTCCAATCTGAACACCATATGAAGACGGTTTTCGGCTCACAATATGTAAGAGAAAACGTTGGTCCGGATGGTATCAACTTCTCCGACTTCGGTTCAGCGTTGCCTGTGACTGTTCAGGAAAGAGTTATTCCACTGAACGAGTCAGTGAATGCGTCATCTGGAGACGTTGACACATTATCGGGATCCCCTGTCGCGATGTATTACTTGACTGTGACCGGCAGCGACACCGAAGATATTATTACCGGATTTGTCAATAGTTTGCAGAAGTTGGCAGGGAGCCAGGTGCGCACGGTTGTTGCGAATACTCCAGTAGAGCTGAGCCTCAACCCAGATGCTTATTTTGGGAGCAATCCCAAGCGGCCCAAATTCAATTTAATATTCTCAATTCATCTGCGCGACAAGGAGAGCGTCGCGGAGGTGAGGAAAGCGCAGAAAGAGTTTGAGGCAGCGTACGGAGCCAATATTAATCTCCCAAATTCCTGGATCGCCTTTGGTCAACGCGGTCTAGTTCTCAACCAGGAGAAAGATATCCAGGTATGTTTTTTCGTTACTTTTGAATTTGGAAGTATGCTTAATTTCAGTAGTTTGATCTATCCCGCCAGCCCAAACTGTAGGAGCACAAATGCGATGGACGACATCGATGGTATTGGTTAGAACTTGAGTAGATTAGATGTTGTATATAAATTCCTTTCTAGGTTATCCTGAGCATCCAATTAGCTGATCCCCTGTGGCTTAGTTGGCTAAAGCGTCCGACTGTTATTCATAGACAATCGGGAGATCGGAAGTTCGAGCCTTCCCGGGGGAGATTCGTCTCTCAAATTCACTTTTTGTTTTAATTCTTATTTTCTATTTGTTATAAGTTTGTCCGTCTTCTTTTGCCAAGCAACCATTCGTTTGGCCAGTTTCGTCTTGTTTCTCAATACGTAGATATGATGATCTAAAGGCGGGGTTCGTGTAACCTTGGTCTCGTTATATTCTCAAGTCCCCGCTCGCATCGATGTCAGCATCCTTTCTAGGTTCCCTCCCTCTCATAAAAGATCACTATAGAAGCTATGGAAACTCCAGCTCACCCTCACGTCATTATCGTTGGCGGTGGTATTATTGGTGCCGCAATCGCCTGGCATTTGGCTCATCACACTAGCGTGACCATCGTCGCAGAGGACGTTGGTGGACCCGCCTCCAAGGCCTCTTTCGCTTGGCTTAATGCGAGCTCCGTCAGCCAAAGATTCTACTATGACTTTCGTCGGCGATCCCTACACAGATGGAAACAAATCCATTCCGAGATCCCAGAACTTCCAATTTCCTGGACTGGATCCATCAACTGGCACAAGACTACCGAGGTCATGGCCAAGACCGAGAGTAACCTGACTGCATGGGGATACGATATCGCCAACATGAAGAAGCCGGGAGTTTCCAACCAGGAGCCACTCTTTAATCAGTCTGCTTTGCCAGATTGGGCCCTCCACTACGCCGAAGAGGGTTCTATGGAAGCCCATGTTGTCGCACAGATGCTCGTAGCAAGTGCAGAGGCCAGAGGCAACGTAAAGGTCATCAGAGCGACAGCAAAAGGGTTTTGCAAGAGGAATGGGAAAGTCGCAGGAGTCGAGCTAGCATCTGACGAGAAGGTTTTTGGCGATCATATTGTCGTGGCTGCTGGCTTGGGCACTGTACCCCTCCTGGCAACTGAAGGGATCGCCGTTCCTATCAACTCGGTACCAGCACTGATTGTGAACTCGAAACCCATCAAAGAAAGCTTGGTAAGGCATGTAGTTAACTCGAAATATCTCTACATTCGGCAGACATCAGATGGAATCATCAAGGCGGGCTGCGAGAACCCAGGCGATGACCCAGGCGACGATCCGGAAGCAACAGCACGTCAGGTCTTCTCCCAGGTCCAATTGACGCTGGTTGGAGGAGAAAACCTCGAGTTTGACTATTACACGGTCGGTTACAAGCCTACTCCTGGAGACGGTCTGCCAATCATTGGACCAACTGGCCTGGAAGGCGTCAGTGTCGCGGTCATGCACTCTGGTGTCACAAACGCTGCAATTGTCGGAGAACTGCTCAGCAAACAGATCATCACGGGCAAGATGGATCCAGGGCTTGAGAACTTCCGTCTCGATAGATTCAACAGCTAAATATAAATCCAGTGAATGAAATACGCATCGATATATAAACCCTCAAGAGATCTGTGGCTTTCGACCATAGACAGCACGATAACGAAAGAAAGGATGGTTCGCGGTTGACCTAAGTTCCCGCCGAAGCTGCGCACAGTAGACCTTCACCTCTTGCATTGACCACCCCAACAGTTGGCTCGCCATGTATAGAACATACCCCTCAAAGTCCTGCTCCAGAGCAGCTAGAACATACTGGCCAATCTCCCTCATCTTCTTATCCTTAGGCCACCCTCCGATAGCAATCTGCCAGTGCCGCTGTAAGCCACTCGTCATCAATGTCAGACTGGGTTCTTACCTTGTAGTCGGCGATCTGAATGTCCTCAAAGCCAGCCTCTCGCATACACTTCTGTTGGAGATCATCCTCAATAATAGTACATGGCTGTCCCATCTTCTTTCCACCCTCAATAAAGAATCTTCCCCATTCATGCATAGCGCTAGTATCTGTAACGGTTCCATCATCACTCTCCATCATCGCGGAGGCCTCGTGACTTTCAACCCAACCGCCGGGTCTACATGCCCGGAAGGCTTCCTTGAATAACGCTGACCAATCTTTGATGCTGCCAAATAAATAACGCATGTGAACAAAGTCGATGGAATCCGGCGCGAATGTCCATGGCTGTGTACAATCGTCGATATGGCTTTCAGAAGATATCAGCGTCAAACAGCTACAGACAAATGGTAGACATGGCTTACAATTCGAGGTTAGGCGGAACCCATGCCGGTTGGATAGGCGAGATATCAGTACCTACGACTTTTGCGCCTGGGAATTGGTCGGCAAAGTCACTTCCAGGGTTCAGCATTAGAATGAGATCTCTACCAGTTGAGCTCGTCTTGTACGCACATGGCCCAAATACCTAGATACTATTCGTCAGTACTGACTCAAGGCTCATATTGAGATGATCGTCCTACCTGTCCCGGTTCCAATATCCAGAGCTGACTAACAGGTATGAGCTTCTGAGCGACCGAAGATCAGGTAATCACAGACCTGTATATTATCCTTCAAGGGTGACAAAAAGAGCCTATCATCAAGCAAAAGACTCAAAAAGTGATGTCTCGCAATTTTAGTGGATGAGAATGAGACCTCGGACGAGGGAAAACTCACACTATATCCATCGACTCATTTTGCTGTTCGTCATTGGCAGCCCTGGCGATACGACATTAGCGCCCGTAGTCGTAGGGACAACTTTCCGCGGAAATACCAGTATTGAGCATTTCCTCTCTCCGAGTGAAAGGTTCGACCTTGAATGGTTCGATACGACAGAATACTCGAGGTCATTGATGCTGTCGACTCGGCGGGGTTGGAGATGACAGAGTCGGCATCATGGTTATCTGCCTCCTCTTGCTACAACGTGTCAACATTATGTTAACAGTAGTCTAACAGGGCCTGTCATACCTCGTTTAATTGCTCCCAGTGTGTGACTGGATGCAGAGGTTGATCCGTCGTAGATTCATCACCCCCAGTCACCGTAGCAGGAGTTTCGTCCGCTGGCATTATCAAAATCGCGTAAAGGTGAAGAAAGGAAGTAAACTTCACAAGTACTGAAGCATCGATAAATGCCGCAAGAGGAGATGTGTTTGGGGAGGGTTTCTACCCCTGGTCATTCTGTTGGCTCGCTTCTGACAGCTTCCTGATATGATTCGGCGTACGCGTCCCAACACCGTTGGGGAATCCATGTGAATCAGCCCCGGATTAGTAATAAAATACGACTTCAAGTGCAATTATTGGTTAGAACCTAAGTTACCGATGAGATTGAGGCCATGAGTAGTTCGTCAGCCGTGTACTGAGTAATAAATCTGATGCGAAGTCTAATGCTCAACGCACCAATTGACTATATCGCCGCTTATGCAATAAACAATATAAAGCGGTAGACAAATTATGATCGATGTGTAGCAAAATATGTTTTGAGTTACATGCACAGCTGCCAATAATATATTGGCCTGTGAAAGTATAATATTACAATGAGACCAACAAAGTTTCACTGATAGAGATTAATAGGGTTTTCAGTTATCGAGAAACTTTCAGTTGTACTACATAAAAGAAAGACTTGCCCTCCTTTCCAGAGCTTTAATCATTCCATTCAACTTTCCCATCTTCATCATGGAGTCTTCCAAGCCACCCTCCGGAGAATCATCCGTCCAACATCCAAGCATTCTGAATCCTGTAATGACAAAGTCGAACCTGAGTTTTCATTTGTTTCCACAACTCCCCAAGGAAATCAGAGAAATGGTTTGGACGCAGAGTCTCACCTGTGAGCGTTATATCGCGGTTGAGCTTTGGTCCAGAAGCGTGCGAGGTGGCGGATTCTATCTACAGAAATCATTGTCCCGCGGCCCACCTGTCGATGAACAGTACAGACTAGTACTCGTCAATCCCCCCAGGCCTAGTGCTATTTTCGGTACCAGTACCGAATCTCGTGCGAGCGCTTGTCGATTCTATAGGGTGCATCTTCCTTGCTTCCTCTTAAGGCGATCACAGTCAGCCGCACCGGGAACGTTTTGGTTCAACCCTGAACTAGACACTCTGGAGATTCGAGGATTAGAGAGCTTTACGAACTTTGCACATGACTTTTGGCGCCATGACTGTCAAAAGGCGGGACTACGCAATGTTTGTTTTGATGCCAGGACTCGTCTCTCCTTTGATGACTTTTACCAACTTGCTGCTTCTCCTGACCAGCTGCGCCAAGTTGTCAGCCGACTTGAGCATGTCACCTTTATTTATTATACTGAGGATGATAGGGTAGACATGGCTTTCCGTAGGTATTCTAACTGGGCCCCTAGCTACCCGCGCACATTGCACCATTTGCGCTCGCTTCCCATTGCAGGGGCTACTGGTAGCTTTTCACGGCAGCGGGATCTACGTCCTATGGAGGACGGCATCCTCAATTGCGCCTTCATCTCTGCCTTCTTTGATGTTGGCCGAATCGTGAGGAGTTGGCAGAGCGGGTTTCGGCGACTAAGAGCGACAAAGCCATGCGACTTCAGGCTCGCATATGCAACCGGCGCATTCCAGATTCCATTCATTGCTGATAGAGCGGATGCTATGGAGTATCTCATGGACGAAGAAGAAAAGTGGCAAGAGTGTTTTGACAACGCATCAGCGTCGCCCCCGAGAGGGCCATGGCTATTTCTGAATGGGGTCCCCGAGCAGCTTGATAGCCAACTTCAAACTGCATTTGGGTTTTGGACCGTTTCCCTCGAGCCTCAGGATCAAGTTGCTAGTGACTATCCACACCAACCAGAGCTATGCTTATTTCATTTATGAACCTCGCATCTCTAAGCTTACAAGAACTATATAGAGATCTCTTAAAGCGGCTGGTATCCAACTATGAGCTTGCCGTCACCCTACCTTGGCATAGAACCTTCGTTTCATTGTCATTTGCTACCTCATATAAAGTCATAGAAATGCCGCGCAACTTCTGCTACAATCCAAGAAAACTGTGCCCATTACTCCAAGTGGCGTGATAAATGATCTCAAGGCATCTTGAAACTTCCCCAGAATTTCCTCAATCTATATGGAGCGGCCTGCCATATGAAGCAAGAAAGTGTTGGGGGCTCTATCAGATTTCAGGCTTCTGACCGTACACAATCCTTTGTCTGAAATACGGATGATGTTGACCTGATCGGATCTCCCGTCGGAGCTGGGTGCACAGAGCTCTGACCTGGTCCTCTGTCCATCCTAGAAGCTCGCACGCCAGGAACAAAAGATAGCCCTCATAGTCTCGCTCCAGAGCTGCCTGCATATATTGTCCAACCTGCTTGAGCCGTTCTTCTGTATGCCAGGGTCCAACTGGTGCCTGTTGCGAGACTGTTAGACCGATCCACAAAGTTGGCCCGAAGTATGAAATTACCTTGAGGTCCACGACGTGGATGTTGACAAAGCCTGCTTCTTCCATCGACTTCCTTTGCACGTCTTCTCGGATCATGGCAAAGCTTCTTCCTGCGCGTTGACCGCCTTCTTCGAATACTTCACCCCACCGTTTCATAGCGCTTCCATCTGGGATAGAATTATCGTCGCTCTCCATAGTGGATGATACTTCGTAGCTCTCAACCCACCCGCCGGGGCCGCAAGCTGTGAAAGATTCTCTGAAAGTGGCAGTCCAATCTGTGATACTCCCAAGCATGAATCTCATATGGACGAAGTCAAAGGAGTCTGGTTGGAAGGTCCAGGTATCGTTGCAGTCCTCGATTTCGCTGCCAAAGTGTGAGCTTCCATGCTATTATACACAGTGGGGAAACTCACAGCTGTAGATTCGATGGCATCCAGGTTGGTTGAATAGGGCTGATCTCAGTGCCCACGACCTCGACGTGAGGATGTTCGTCGGCAAAGTCACTTTATCGTGATCAGTCTCGTCCGATTTCCCATCCAATCGTTACTTACATGGCCCAGATAGCTGCAAATGTGTTAGAATTAGATAATAGAGTCGATCCAGGGGCCCCCTACCTGTTCCCGTTCCAATGTCAAGCACTCTCTGTCAAGGCCATTATCAGCAAAAGAGACCCGATACGCTAGGATTGGCGGTACTGACTCGGATATCTGGCTTGAGGGGTGCCAGATGAAGTTTATCTTCCAGTAGAAGGAGGGTAAAATGATGTCTCGCTACTGTTAGATGCCCTCGCCATATTTCACAGGAGCGTTCACTTACGCAAGGTCCAAAGATTGACTAGCCTGATCATCATTCGATGCCCTGGGCCTCGTTAGAATAGATACATACTAAGCCGAAGTACGCATACCAGTATTGAGCTGTACCTCTATCCGAATGGTAGGTCCTTCCATGCAAGGTTCGGTACTCAAAGATACTTGAGCTCAGAGAATAAGTCGAGTCGGCCGCATTGGATCCCAGGGCTGAATCCAGGTCTGAGTCACTGTGACCATCAAAGCCCTCGTCAGTTTCGACATCGTCATGCTCTGGATTTTGATTCTGGCCCCTCAAGTCAGCGAATATGTCCGAACTCTTCACACTGGTCTCGGACCTCTTGGCCCTGCTGGAGGTTCTGTAAGACCTCCCACGCTGGCGTTGGAGCGGGCGGCAGAGTCAATCCAGGGGTTTCTGTGGGTTCGCTAGCCATTGTATCGCAATATCTCTTTGATGATGCTTCAGAAGTGATGAAAATGCTACGGGATTGTGGTCAAGGAGGGGGTTTTATCAATTCACTTAGTACTGATTACGACACTGGCTGCTTATTCCCCCAGTAGCGCGGCACGTTCGGTTGCAACGCCAATATTGATTATGCTAGACGCAAAAGGCAAAGTGCTGCGGTGTGGCGGTGCCGATTAAACCTATTGGAGGAAGTTCGGGGCAACATTCCAGGTGCTCGGACACTTGATCGTCATCTTAGTGGCTCGGTAGTGCTTGTTCCCACGCGAGCTATCAATTTCCTTATAGCCGGGAGCATTCCGCGGGCAGCCTCATTGAGTGAAAACGCGAGAATCCCACAGAGCCGAGCCAATCGAGGGCTGGTGATATGAAAGCAAAGGCTGCCATCTTTTCCGCCTGAGACAGAAAAGAGGCTGTGTTGGGTGACAGGGGAACAATACGACTGTCATAAGACGTGTCCGTTATATCCGTGTCGATGAGCTAGACGGGATTTGCAGTCTGTGCATGCCGGTAGATATCAAGTTCCCGTTACATCCGGCCGATCTGAATTATGTCCATCAATCCGACGCGAGGGTCCAGAGGCCAGCGGAGTGCGATATCCTCCGACATGTGGAGAATGATTAGTCGCGAGATAAAGCGATTACTAACGGGATATCCATCATTAATATATAATCGGTATCTTCGGATCAGTATCTGGATGACACGTAATAATCTTCACCTGTTACAGGGCGTCGCAAGGCCCAGCATCATTGCGATGGGGATTAAAAATAGCCCAAGATGCTAGGTTCGTCGGATGATTACCCTAAGCCCGCCCAAAACTTTGTCTCACCGATGAGCAAAATCTTGCGTTTTCCAGAATCCCTTTACTAACTGTTTATTCACGAACTGCCGAAACGTGGGTGAAATTTAGGACACCCGCGATCCGACAGCTTGAACATTGCCGAGCGGGATGTACACTGAAAAGGCACCAAAAAAGAGCAATTGACAATCCGACTGTCTTTACTAATTCATGACATGCTTAAATTTTATTCCAGGAGTCTTCTATTGAACCCAATTGCCATTGTTTGCAATTAGATTAGGCGCTCCACGAAGGTTTCCAGAAATCTTCTTCGGAGTCGCCAATTCCTTCAGCCAAGCCGTGATATCAGCAACTCCCTCGACCTCCTCCACGCTCATCGCGTACAAGACCAACCCCGCAACATGAGGGGCAGCCATTGAAGTTCCATCCTCGGTGAAGGTGTAAGTGTTGGACTTATGGCCAGCTGAAGTGATGCCTACTCCAGGGGCCATGATGTCGACTGTCTTTCCCCAGTTGGAGAAATCGGCAACAGCCCAGTTGGAGTCGATCGCCCCGACAGTGATTGCTGTCGATGCAGAACCGGGCGACTCCTTGGCGGCATCTATAGCATCGTTACCGGAAGCGACAACTGTGACGACGCCTTTCTTAGATGCGGTGTCAACAGCTTTGTTGAAGGCAGTGGACTTTTCGCCGCCGAGAGACATGTTGATAACGGCTCTCCATGTGCGATCTTTCTTGATGATATCGTTGACGGCCCAGTTGAAGGCGTCAAGAACAATAGACGTATCAGACTCATCACCGTTGAAGACCTTGAGAGCGAGAATGTTGGCCTTCTTGGCAACACCATAGGTCTTACCAGCAATGGTACCCGCAACATGGGTTCCGTGACCGTCGTCGTCCTTGTTATTACCCTTCCAGTTGGTCCAGGCAGCCTTTGCACGGCCACCGAACTCATTGTGAGTCACTCTGACACCGCCATCAATGACATAGGCGTACATGTCAGTGCCAGCATAGTCATCGTAGATATACTCCTTGTAGCCCTTCTTGCGATGAGAGATCGTGCCGAGACCCCAGGTGGACTTCTTCTGGGTGATCTCATCTCTCTTCTCGAGGCTTCGCTTGCTCTTGATGCGATTGAGCTTCCATACACGGTTGGGCTCAACGGCCAGGACCTTGAGGAGCTAGTTAGCATGTGCACCTAATAACTGAAGGTGCTGGCTTACATCTGGGCTTTTCTTGATCTCCTTGATAGTCGCTGTATCGAATGAGCCAGCATATCCCTGGAAGCCAGACTTGCTGTCATAAGTTTTTTCGACACCAACTTCAGTCTCGCGCTTGGTGAGACTTCTCTTGTGAACATCTTTGACCCATTTTAAATGGGTCTTGGCCATGGCAGCATCAACCTCGGGCTTCAAGGTGATGATGTAGCTGCCCGGGATGATAGCACCGGCCTCAGCGGCTGGGGCAGCAGGTGCAGGGACAGCAAGTCCACATCCAAGAAGGACGCTTACTGCAAGAGCGATATTCTTGAGATTCACCATGATGAAGAAGAATGGCGAAATGCGACGATGCTTTCTTGGAAGGAATTTTGAAGGATCAACAGCGGGTCATATATACCCGTACTTAGATACTGCTCTACATATTTAATATTAAAACCGTCACCGGGGCTTCTCTTCAGCTCAAGCTCCCCTGCAAATAGTGCAAACGAGATGGTGCACCGCCTTAGCTGATTGCGATCTACATGTGCATCCCCAACCGTTCCTGGCCGTTCCTGAGCATGCTTAATTTTTAGCTATTGGCCCTAGATCCGAAAATGACCCCTAAAAGCGAACAGTGGCTGGTCTAGATGTGGCTGGACTTGTGTTAGGGGACCTCAAATTCCAGAGCTGTGGGTGACTATTTTCTCTTTGGGTATGCTAGTTCGCAGCTGAACTCCCTTTCCGGAAAGAAACCGATCTAGCTTAGAACTCTGAAATCAATAGACAGAAAATCGAACGCGGTTTGTTTCACTTTTTCGAAGGGTTGGGATACACGTGGGGCCGAGTGACAATGCGAGGGATGAAGAAGGGAGAATATGGCATTGTGTCCTTTTATGTACCGGCTATGACAATGGCATTCTTCTGTGACATCTTTCTAAAATACAAAGACGAGAGTATTGGGGGCCGTTTAAATGTGATAAAAGCTCGCTTTTGGTCTGCTCCGGGGAAAAGGCTTTTGAGCCTTGGTGTTTTAAGGTCGTTCTAGGACAGTTTTTCTACGCCAAATACCGTATTGGCTCATATTTCGTAGCTTTCAATCTATATATTTAATCGCTTGAAAAGCATTAATTATTTTGCTCTCTTAACAGCGTGTCTGACGAACATTTCCATCCATGGCAGACCGCCTTGTGAGATCTACCGTACGATCTCTATCTAATGCACCCGCTACGCTGGCCCCCCTGCGTTAGCCTACCGATTTCACATCTTTGGCTGGCTGAACCCCTAGTCGATTTCGTGTGGCTTACTCTGAAATATTGGGCTTGAGAGTCAGACATTAAGGATTAGTCTTGTTCTTTCTATAGACCATGGTCCAGACCAGCCAAGACAACCCACCTACGTTTTGCAACTTTATAATGCCTCAAAAGGCGGCAATGGGCCGCTGAAAAGCCATAGAGAAATAATAAGACTTGGCAACAATGCTCCGAGAAATGTCCTCAACTCTGGAGTACCATTGTGTTGCTTTGTTTTCGCGACATTCGTAGACAAGTAACCCATCAAGAGTCTTTGGCTTGGAGCCAGAAGCCTTTCATAAATCCCATGGTCAACTGCAGGTCCCATGTCGGTTGTGGCTTGAGACTTTCGATAGTGCGGGTTTCTGGAGGGGAGATGGCCACTACATTCCAGACCCAGGTGACCACGAGACTGCCTTGGATTCCCAAGAATAGCCTGCTAGCTTAGTGAATCAAGAGCTGCCGTTCCTTAGATGTTATGAAGACCGAATAACATTGGTCAACGAAGTTCTGGTATGTGATAGCACTCGAGGCTGAAGAATGGAGCGGACGGCCAAATCAAACTTGCTCAACTACCTGGAAGAGAGAGTGGATCACAAAACGCCGTCGTAGGCCCAGCTCGAGAGCTAAAACAGCGCTGGAAAACCCACTTTGTGATCGAGACCGAAGTCGGATTTTTTGGTCCGACATCAGGAGTTTTGAATAGCTACGCGCCAGCTTTTAGATGAGGTCGGCTGAGATATAAGCTTATTAAGCTTGTTCAATAGCTCCGAGACGCAGGCTACAATATTGCGTTGCAATCTTTGACTGGCTGAACTAAATCTGATGTAGAGTGTGCATTTATTGCAGGTGCATGATGTGTAGAGCAAGGTTCACCAACTTCTCTCATGGTCTATTGTAGTTACTAGCTAGTAGCTCATCCGCAAACTTTCAGTATTACTATATACTATTTGCGATTGGTACTTTCAAGCCTTGATATGATAATTCAGAACTGGGGAGCCTAACCATATGAGTTGCAACACTCAGGCGTTGGGCGGTATCTCAAGCTTTGCTTGAGCCAAGCTTGGCTGTACGCGTTTAGTGTTTCACCCATGGGCCCACCGAAGATAACTTTGCTAAGCTGAAAAGTACATGGGGAGCCCTAAAGATGGCTTGTCGGAACCTGGCTCCCAACCATGATATGATCCATCAGCGTTTCAGCAGCCCCCTGAGGTGACCAACCCTTCATCCGATCTTCATTCAACAGGTATGCCTTGGGAAACCCAGGAACGTCAGTCTCTCCGAGCACCATCCTCGCAATAGCTTCACCAGTAAGCCAGCACTTATCCATGCCGTGACCATTGAACCCCGCTGCAATCCACTCACCACTTCCACTTCGACCCGTGAGGTTATGCGGAAGCTTTCCCACGATGGGCATACCGTCTGCCGTGAATCCCATTATTCCGGACCAGACATTCAGGGCCTCTACCGGTGCTGTATCTTTCCAGATCTTGGGTGCTGCAGAAGTCAAGGTTTGGCGAGCATCGTCTGCAACATTTGAATCGTCGCTTGTAAGAAGACCGTCGAGGCTCTGAGATTCGCCGCCGAGGAACATTACTCCAGTTTTCGCATTCTGCTGAGCGTAGTACAGGCCCAGATGAATATGCCCACTCTTTGCGTCATATGTGCCAAGAGAGACTTGCGACCAAGACATACTGTGGCCGGCTCGCGGAAAGTTGGGGCCTAGCTTCTGTGTAGACATAGTTCCTCGTAATGGATACAGGTTGCCAGCAAGACCAGGAATCAGATGACTTGAGTACCCATTAGTGCAATGGATGATATTTTTAGCTCGAATGGATCCTCGGGATGTGCGCACTAGGTACGGAAATTCCAGAACATCGTCTTGAACTTGCACTGAGAGAACGGGCGTGTTCGTCTCGAGCGAGAAGCGGTCTGAGAACTCTTTTCTGAGGGAGGCCAAGACTGCGGTTAGAAGTCGATATGGCCACAAGGCTGCGACTCCGGTTTGTGCAACTGCGCCGACGACGTTCGTGAAATTAAAGATCTGTTACAGGTAGTCAGCAGTAAGTGCATGAACGCGTTCTACTCAACCTACCTTGGCCGCCTCCTCCCTATTGTATACTTTGAACTTGACCTCACTGTCAGGCACCGCTTTGAGCAGTTGCTTGACTTCTTCAATAGCACCTCGAAATGAACTTTGATCAGTGTAGGACGTTGCTGATGTCACCTCGCGAAATTCCACCGCTTCTCTATCCTCGGGATCCAACTGAGCGATAAGCTCCTTCAAGCGGCGAATGTTGGCATCGCTGAACCGCACAGTCTCTATCGCACGCTCAACACCAATCGTCTCGGCAAGAGCTGGAAACAAGGAATCACTATCCGAGACAAGATGTCCTCCGTTTCGTCCAGTCGCTCCACTTACGGCTGTGCGGGCCTCAAGCATAGTCACCTTGAGATCAGTGCCTTTCGCATGGTTCAGGAGGGAGTGCGCCGCGCCAATGCCAGTGATGCCGGAACCAATGATGATGATATCGGTTTCTGAAGGCAAGGCATGGGACTGTGCGCTTGCTACGGTTGGATGTGGTGGAGTCTGCCAGGTCGGGGTCGTTGGGTTCGTACTTGGCAGCCCAGACTGAACCGTGATGAGCTTCACGACATCTTGGATGAAGTCTAATACGGTGAGCCGGAGCAAGCGATATGAGATGGACAGACGACCATAGACCTACCACTTCCTGTCATTTCTGCCCACGAATGAGTGTCTCGTTATCAGTGGAAATGTTACGCGCGGGGTAAAGCTTGCTCCTTGGTGTGACAAGATGGCTCAGAAGATAATTGTCCCAGTCAATGCGAATCGGGACTTGGAACAATACAGCTCTCGAGATATAGTCAGCGAGCAAGAAAATTGTGTATTCTATTGCCTTGATATGGTCTTTCTCTTATCTGTCGCTTGGCATGATCCCTGGACATGATCGGGGTCATCCCCCCTCCCTCGCACAGGCATGCTTCATTGGGTCTAGATCATCCATATCCCGCTTGCAACGACCCGATTGGCGGGGTATCCATCATCACAGCTCTGGAGATGGCTTCACTCAGTATGCCTTCCTCGGTCTTCACTTCAGCTGTACATGACAGTTGGTTTAGCTATCCTCGATTGTAGTACCAACGATCCCCAGCCCTACTTACCATTCTAAGTCACAACGTTGCCTTGTATCACGGTATGTGTCTAGACGCCTAGTCGAAAGCAGTGCTGTGTCCTTACACACGGGACCCTCGGTCTCTGAGGCGGCATTCTCGGGATCCGTAAGACACAATCTACAAATCCCGCTTCCGAGCTACTTGAGGCGGAGAGTTTCGCCGACGAAAGTCGCCCATACCGACAATCTACCGTAATTTCTGAGAATATTATCCTCGTGTCGCTGTTTGTATCAGCCAGACTCGCTAGTGCACGGGGCGTTTGCGGGGGTCGGACGCTCCTCAGCCTGCTTAATCGAGTTAGTGGATCACCCAGCGTTCACTGGCATCTCCAATACGACAAGACAATTGACCCTCTGTAATTGAAGTCTTTTGAAAGTAAAAGTAATTGTTATCAAGCTTATAAAAACTGCCTGGGGACTGTGTAGAAGTATTTTTTACCAAAGAGCCTCATGCTCTAGTATCTCGTTTCTCTTCAACGAACTTTTCCTCAGCGAATTGGTCAAACATGCCTGCCAGCAAGACCCCAATCGGTACTACAGAACTTACAGTTCAGGGCCTTGGTGTTGTGAAGGGCCTAAGCTTCCCTAACAACATCCACCAATTCAGTGGCATCCCTTACGCATCGCTCTCCAAGCGTTGGACACGTTCACAAATCAGGACTTCATGGCCCAACGATTTTCACGATGGGACAAAATTGGGGTAATTATTTTCGAGTTCTGGTCTGGAAGTGTTGCTAAATCTGTTCCATAGACCCAGCGCGCCGAACCCGCCAGAGTACAATACACCTGAAGATATCCTTGTCCCCGTTGACATTGCGCCCCATTTTGAAGAGCCAATTGAAGATGAGCTCAACTGCCT